AAAAAAAAATGTTTCCGGTTTGTTCAGGCTACTTTCTGATCATTTGTCTTTTCAACCTCAAATAATCAACCAACCTGAGAAGTGTAGAAGGGAAACGGAATCTCTGTTGAAAAGACTAATGTGTAATAGATACCTGACGTATCATAAGTAAACCCAAAGACAGTGCTTGTTGTACAGAGACAGAGTAGATCTAGAAGGGTTGGTTGGCACTGGGTTCTTCTCTGTTTGCTAGAAAAAATCCTAAACTGAAAAGTCAGAAAAATACTGTGTACTTCCACCATGAGATGTGTACTGTAGAAAGTAAAGTAGAACTACTCAAGCAACAACCTCACAATTGTACCACACCTACAATGCTTGGGAAAGCACAGTATCTGCAGCTTCTAATATCTACAGGAAATCCAGACTGTAGAGTCTTCTGTGGAAATCCAGTAAAAGTTTGCCTCAATTGTCTATTGAGTGAAATTTTGGCTTTGTCATTAAATAGCTGCATATATTTTCCTAAAAGACTAAAGCTGGCCGAACACTGATAAATGATGAGACAAGAAACCAGGGAGTAGAAGTCTGATAGTTTATTGCAAGGTCTGCAAAGTCTACCACAGGTGAAAGAGACCCAAACATGTACTGTAAATATATACAGAAAAATAAAATATAAATATCATGTAGCATGAGATGAAACTACTAAACTACTGTAAAGTGAACAGGAGCCATGCACTGAGAGTGGTTTCAGTGGAAAATAGCAATTCACTGCAGGCTGGAAGCTTATTTACAGCATTGAATCTCTTCATTATAACATTGTGTTCTCACATTAGGAAGCAGTGTATTGCTGTAGTGTTAGTACTGTACAGGCCAACCAGGTATACTGTCACAAATCTCTACCCAAAGGCACACATTCAGGAAAGTATGCTTTTAAAATTGGACCTTTTTGCTTGACTGCTTTTGTCAAACATTGATTCCTGTGAAGTACACATGCAGACATGCAAGTTTTAAGTCACAATGTACAAACAAAAAGTAAAGTGAAATGACTTTCTAAACTGCAGCAGGATAACACTGGATCACTGGAACCAGACGACATACCTCAGTGGTACTGAGGACACATTCAGTCCAGCGGTACAAGTTGCCAAATTCCTTTGAGTAACAAGAGTGACAACGAGCACTGGTTGACATTTAACAGTCTAGGAAATGAGTCTGAATAGATGCAGTAGGGCCTGGAAATATTCAGCCACAGCATCCTTCACCTTCTGGGTGCATGTGCACCATTAAACATGGATTTTGACATTTTGGAAAATGTTCACATTTCTGCTAAGAGTTAGATGAGAAATCACTACACGTGTGTTGAACAATTGTGAAGCCGGAGCACAGAGACTGGAAACAGCTGTGCTATATTTAAAATTCAGTGCAAACACTGAAGTGTAAAAATGGTAACTGTGAGTTCTGGGGACACGTTAACAAACCCGACTAGCTACTCCCAGTCTGTGTGCTAAGCTAAAGGGCTGCAAAAAAAAACACCTATTAGATGGAGGAAGAGGAGGGCTGTGTATCTCTTCTTTTTGCTGAAAGAAGGCAGCAGGAACCTTTTAGAAGTATAGCAATGGGGTTTTCCATTTTACGTGCTACAAAAATATATTTCATTTCATCATTTTCATCTGAGATTTCTTGTAAAACTAGACTGAGCAGTTACATCCAAATTACTGTCAAAACCTGTGCGCGCATTGTAGATCACAGCATGGTGTACCATGTGCAAAGTCCCCGAAACAGAACTTTTTCCATTAGTAGTAGGACCAGCTGACACTTTGGTGTACTTTAACAGAACTACATTAAAGTTAAAAGTGACATAAAAAGCCTTGTTTCAACTTCTGTGCAGCCCATTAGCTCACTGGCTGTTGCTTCATATTTAGCTAAAAGAAAGGACAATGATCTAATCTAACTCCAAGCAAAAGGTGAAACTAATCCTCGTCCTAAACCTCCACTGGAGCATCTGTCTGGACTTGCCTTTGGTGCCAGACGGGCACCAGGAAAGTTCATTCAGTTTTCCATCCCCTTTCTGCTGAGATACAGTACATGAACTGGAGTTATTAGACATTTGTTAGTATTATAATAAGCAGCAGTAACATTTAACCACTTTAGAAAAATGACACTTCTGTACATCGACCAGTGAAAGGTTCTCAAAGGTGGAACACAATGGGAATTTACAGTGATGTTAAGATGGATTCTCAGAGTTTATTGCTAATGGCCAAAGATCCACCACTATCCTTCATACTTGTATCATTTTCAATGAGAGCCACTGGTTCATCCCTTAGTTACACTGTTGCTTACTTTTAGAAGTAGTAATAGTAGTAGTGGTGATAAGTCAGACTGTCAGCCTTGTGACAGATTAAAGGTACTGCCCATTTGTCATTTCACATTTCAAAGTCTCAAAGTGACTTGCATTTAATTTAGGAACAACTTCCAAACAGTTAAACATCTTTAAAACAAAAATAAACTGTCAAGTTTGTCAGCAACAGCAAAACTGGAACCACAGGTTGTTAGTTCACTGTTGACAACTGTGACAAATTTAAATACTGAGAGGATTTTAGAGACATTTAGACCTTGAGCTTCAGATTACACTTGACATGTAATACAACACATAATTTCGAATGAAACGCAGCTAATCACAGTAGTCTCGACAGCGTGTGGGTTCCTGACCCTGAGTGAACCCAGTTAAATCCAACCTGGGTCTTTAGATTCACATCTTTCTGAAAACCAGGCAGGTGAGAACATGGCTGCCGTTGGCACGTCACTGGTTTTCCTTCGTTTCCCTAGTGTTTACACTTCTTATTTCTGAGCACAGTGATTCTGTGACCTTTCAGTTCTTGACAGCCAATGTACAGACAAAACATATGATCGTTTATATTTAAAAATAAACAGCATGAAGCTAGAAAATGTACTTTCCCCACCAGTCTTCTACCACTGGACTGTGGGACTGGTGGTTAATTATTTAAGCCTAGATCTTTCTTGGTTCACCCCTAAAATCTGATCTTTGCACATTTGCTTTATTTTAAATAACACTGATTCTTCTGCAGGTACTTGGACCTAAACTAACACAACCTTTTTTAATGTGTTTAAAATCATTGGCCAGCCAAATGATAATTCATTATAAACTCACAAACTTGATTTCACATTTTGGACTTATGACTGACTCATCATCTTCTGCTGTGCTCATCGAGGTGTCAGACAGACTTCAATATCAAAGCCCATGATTTAGGAATTTAAACTCTTCAAATGGACCCCAGGGAGCCTTTTAAAGTCCATAATGCCACTTTCTTCAAGTGCTCAGTACAGCTCAAATGTCATCAAATACACAAGTTACAAACTGGAAACTATTCCAAAACCTTTCCTATTGATTGACCAGGTGCAATGAGGCAGTAATTCTGGAAGGAGACACACAGGTCATTCAAAGCTCTTTATATTCTCTATATGACAAGGTTTGATGTGTCAAAGCAAAAAAAGTGATTAGAAATGAATAAAAATACTGATTTTCAAACTCACCTTTCGTCCTTCAAAGGTTTAAGAAGATGATGCTAAGACAACATTCAGAAGTCATTTTCAGGATCACCTCAGCTCCAACGAGCTTGTTAAATCCACTCGAAAGAATGACAAATGAAATAAGGAGTGAGTAGGAAAAATGTTTTCTACGATCACGTTGGTTCCATCGTACGTACTGTAGATGGACGATCAAGTTTTAAGGCTCATGACTCTAGTGGTAGTGTGGAGCAGGAAGAAGAGGATTCAGGTAGAGGGCTGGGTCCTTTATGAAGCGTCTCAGCTGCCAGGATCACCTCCTCTCCCAAAATGCTTTCAAGCTGATAAAAAAGAAGATGGTTTGGAAAACGGAGCCATGATAGCATGAGCTCCTCTAGATGCCTTCTGTCGGAATGAAATGCTGGTTGGGAAGGTGAGGTTTTTGGCAAAGGCCTGGTCCTACAAGAAACATCGAAATAATGATCCCATTTGCAATGATGTCAGATCAGCTGATGGAATGAAACGGTTTCTGTGTTAAAGCTGTGCTGTTAGTAGGAGGAGATGTCGGAGGAACTGCTGCTGTTGCTGGTGGAGGTCTGGGCCCTCTTGATGTACAAGTTGAGCAGCTTCATCTGTAGGAGGGAAACAGCAGGAGAGTGAGACGAGTGCACCAGTGAGGCTACAACAAGTAGCCTGGTTAAGGACTAAAAACAATGCTCTCTGAAAGCGTGACAGACAGGAAGTGAGTGGACCTTGCTGCCGGTCAGCTGAGCCAGGTAAGGCTTCAGCTCCTCTCCGATCACAGAGTAGATGGCCACCAGGCAGAAGACGCTGGCCTTCCTCACGCTGCTCTCTGTGTTGTCGTAGCCCTGTAACAACAGATGACACTGCTGAAACTAAAACACTGGAGCACTCCAGGACTCCACTGTGCTCCTACATACTTCATTTCATTTTAAGCAAAACATGAATCTTGAAATGTAACTGTTTGTCATCTGGTCACCAGCTGAACACATAACACTGTGTGCTACAGTAACTGTGGCTCACTGCTTCACCCAGTGAATAAAATGAGCAGATATGTGACTGCTTTATGCTCAGTATAAACCACCTGAAGACCCAGACATTAACTTCACAGAGTTATGACATGAAGGTTAATCAGAGAGGGGTGGTTTGCACCTTTAATAATGTGCCATTATTTTTCAGTTTTGCCCCTTTTACCACCTTTGTTATTATTTTTTTAACTTGACAATGCGACTTTATTTGCTCCTTTATGCTCTTCCAGCTGAAAATGGAGGAGTCCATCAGTTACTGTACTTGTCGACAACAGCAGCACGACTCACCTGCAGAAGTCCAGGTATGATATCAGGCAGCAGCTGATGGATTGGCTCCTTGCCGATGCGTTCAGCGGCCCTTGTCTGCATCTTGATAGCAGCAAGGTTGATGGGGTAGTCGGCCGTCTGCACAATGGGACAGAGGACCTTGATGCACTGCTCTGGGTGGATGGAGCTCGCCAGAGTGGAGGCCGTCTCCTCTGCCGCCCGCACTACCTTCAGAAGCCAGGGAGGAGGGAAAAGAGCATGATGCAGGATTGACACAAGACACCTAATCCAACACCTAGTCATTTTTTCATCTTCACCTCCTTGTGTGAGTCTTTATGAGCCTCCAGGGTCTTCATGATGGTGAGCTCAGCATAGTTCTTGAAGCGGGCTGGCTGGTTTCTCAAGATCTCCTTCAGGACTCGCAGGGCCAGTGCCCGGATCATGTGCTGACAAAGAAAAAGTTGTTGGTTCTCCAAATGCATTCAACAAATACGATGATGATCACAAGTTATTTTGCTAAGAATAAAAGACAGATTCTCCAGGCCTCTTGTCCTTACGTCTTTGTCTCCCAACGTCTCGAGCAGCAGCAGCAGCATGGTCTTGAAGTGTTCCTCCCAAACCACCAGGCTGTCCTCTCGGGCCACCTTCAGTAGCTCCAGGAGGGTCCCTCGTCGCTCCTCGGGGCCCCGCTGCCCCGCCTGGCCATGGGACAGCTCCTTGAGCAGCTCCCCGACCAGCTCCAGCTGCTCAGCCGGGCCTGCTGCAGGTTAGGGTCAAAGGTCATCAACAACAAACTTGAACTAGGTTACAAAAGCACCATTACAACATTACTGTACACTATATTTTAGAGTCATAAATTTGTACTTGTTGATCTTTTGGATGATGCAGTTCCTGTGTATCCTGTATGAGTTTATTTTTTGAATTTGTTAAAAACTTCTTTTTTACTTTTCTGTAAAATGGTCATGGCGTGTTCTAACAGGACTCAGTGACACTGTCTTTACCAGGGAAGCTTTTGGAGGTCAGGATCTTGTTTTCAACACATTCTTGTCGGTGGCCTGTGAAAGACAACCGGTAACAGAGATCATTTTAAAAGACATGAAAAGTTTTCAGACCAAAGAGAACTCAAAGAGAAGTCTCACCATCCCGCAGCTGCTCCACGGCGTCCTCATACAGTGCCTCCTTCAGGGCAGCTTTGTCCAGTGTGCTGATGCTGTCGGTGTAGTTATACGGGTTGTACTCTCGGAAGCGAGGGCCGGTGAAGGATCGTGCAGAAGGTGTGTTCAGCAGTGAGGTCTTGTTGTCCAGAGCTGTGCGCCCACCTTCCACCACATCACCACTGAGCCGAGGGTCTGGGTCTGAGGACGCCGCGACTCCAGACTGAGGGACGACATCACAGCATCAGAGGATGCAGCAGAAACATGACATCCATCTTTTTTACTTCACCAAGCTAAAGGAAAGTTATCAGTGAGTTTATAAAGAAATATATGACCACATCCACTGATTTGTTGCCAACCGCTAATAAAAGTAATGTGTAGAAGCAATAGTTTGGGGCCAAGAGAATGTTTGTGTCATATTTTACTTCTCAGCGCCTTCTGTGTCTGTGAACCCCACAGAGTGGGTGTGTTTTTCCTCACCGTGCCATCCCTTTTGCTGTCCCGTCTCAGCGGCTCCATCAGGTCTTCTTGGCTGCGGAAGCTGAAGTTCTGGATGGCCTCAGTGACACCGCGCAGAGAGCTGTAGATCTCCTCTGAGTTCAGGTTCTCACTGTCGTACTCCAACATGCTGCGGCGTGGGAAACGTAGACAGGTTTATTAGAACATATAAATAATCACATGAGACCAAAACAGTTTCATCTAAGATCTGACAGAAACAGTGCATCATTATACTGTGATTAGCTGCTTGGGAAAAAAAAAAAAAAAAAACAAAAAAAAAACTTTGCACCTCACAGATTTGAGGAAGTACTTACTGACCTTTCAGTCTTATTGGTTCTCCAAGCAATCAAACATAACAAGCTTCACCTAAAGATCCTTAGATGTGCTGATCCAAGACCACTTCAGACATAAAGTTTAATATTTATTGACCTAAAAAAGGCATTTGACACAATCAATCATGAATTATTAATGGATAAGTTAGAAAAATATGGGATCAGAGGAATGGCTCTGAATTGGATTAGTAGTTATTTGACACAGAGGCGTCAATTTGTGAAGTTGGGTGAATACCAATCGAGTGAGCTGGATATTGTATGTGGAGTGCCTCAGGGTTCTGTTTTGGGACCTAAATTATTTATATTATACATTAATGATATATGCAAGGTTTCTGATTTAAGTATCTCTGAATTTGGATAAAACTAAATTTATGGTATTTGGGAATCGTAGACTAGATAATGAACTTCAATTGAAAATTGGGGGAGCTAATATAGAACGAGTATATGAAATTAAATTTCTAGGTGTCATAGTTGATGACAAATTCTCCTGGAAATCTCATATCAGATATGTTCAGCACAAAATAGCAAAAAATATATCGATATTGGCAAGGGTTAGATATATTTTGGACGGGAAAGCACTACGCATTTTGTATTCTTCATTGATTTTACCATACTTAGAGTATGGCGTTGAAAACTGGGGAAATACATACAAAAGCTCACTTCAACCATTGTATATATTACAAAAAAGAGCGATAAGAATTGTGCATAAGATGGGGTATAGGGATCACACCAATGTAGCTGATTGTATCCCCCTTCCCAAGGGGGATACAATTTAAGGGGTCAGTTAAATTTAAAAATTCATGCTATACGTACAACCAAAAAAAGATTTTGTATTTCCATAAGTGGGGTAAAACTATGGAATAATTTAAGTGTGGACATAAAAAATAATAATAGAATTGATGAGTTTAAACACAAATATAAAGGTATGTGTCAATCAAGATATATGCAAGAACAGGTTTAACGATTAATCAGGTGTAACATTGTGGGTGTGGGGTAAGAATGTTAACACTATGTAATATTTCTACTTGTGTGATGTAGAAGATAATTATCAAAGTATGTAATTATGTAAGAATGTTAACAGTCTGTAATATTCTTTAGTATATTACTTGTGTGGTGTAGAAGAGAATTATTTATGTAGTAATACTGCTTGCAAACCAATGATGGTAAGATGATGTCATGGGGTAGGACTGGATAAGTCTGACTTCTTCCTACTCCATTCAAGCATGTACTAGGCATAAGCACATTGATAATGCATTTGTGGATATGTGTGAAATTATGTGTGTTGACATATTGACTGTTGTTACATGTTTAGAAAAGAAAAAAAAAAAAGGTTTAGTCATTCGATGGTCATGGACCAGCGCTGCTTCTGTTAAAGTTAGTGAGGAACGATCAAGGACACTTTCCTAGACATGGATCAAACACATGGATCAAACCCTTCTTTTCTTCAGAAACATAATGAGCTTCTACTGCATTTCATTTCTTGATCTCAAATTTAATTTCATGTCTCGACAAAATAAAAGCTTCAAGAATCTTCGCCAGAAGTTACTGTCACACTTTACCACTCTGTGTAAAATTTCCAAACCTTTTAAATGTAAATAATTTGTTTTTGTTCTTCTTGTGGTTTGCTCCATGACTAGGAAACAAGCAGGACTCTACAGTCAGAGTTTGTCCATTTTTTATGCACCACAATGGGTTACAGTGCAGTCCAAAGCACGTGCACAGCTGTGCGTGTCGATAAATGACAGTTAGAGGCAAACAGGTGAATCAAGCACAGAGATACTGTGTGATTACACATTTGCTCACCTGAAAGCTTTCAGTGACAAAAACAAAGAAAATGGATGGACAGTAAAGCAGCAGATGGAGCCACAGAGACTGTTCATGAGTCAGAGGTTGAAGGGTTTCACAGTATGTCTTCCAGAAACTGGAGACAAATCCTAGAGTTCACATCTAACTTTCAAAAAAACAGAAGTAAATTTCTTTTCTTTTGTATAGTTATCTACTAAATATGTTGCTCATGACCATCTGTTCCTGTCCAAAGAGTTAATAGTACACTACTATTTTAAAAGATATTCAGTTTAAAGTTGCAGAGGTCATGACCTGGATTTAGGTCAGGCCCCTAGCACTTCTGTGAGACCGCATCATAGGGAGGAAGAGGATGAGGAGGAGAAAGGGGGTGGGGTTACCTGGGTGAGTAAGCTCGCCGCAGGGCCTTGAGGGAGGAGTGGGCAGTGGGTGGAGGAAGAGGGGAGGGAAAGGGTGGAAGAGGGAACTTGGAGAGCCCGTCTGCACTCCAACCCCACAGCCGACTGCAACCAGCCAGGGAGGAAGAGGGGAGAGAGAGGGGAGGAGAGCAGCCCAGAGAGGAGTCAGAGATGTGAGAAGAAGCACTGTACTCAGAGTTAGAACATGCAGGCTGGGAGATGGGGCGGGGGGTAAAATCTACCCTGACAAATCAAACACTGTCTTGTTTGCTGTGATATCATCATCATTACAGTACAACTTAATGTCCTTCATCAGCTGGTATCAAGGTAAAAACACCTGGTATCCATACAACACAGGTGGAAACAAGCGTCCAAGCAAAAGTGGAGCTGTGACAACCATAGAGGAGAGTCGCAAATGGCAGAATTTTGTCAGTTTGGATAAAATTATTTAGTTCTGATGTGAAAGACACAAGAAAAAGTAGTTTAAATGTTAAATGTAACACATTTCTGTGTGACTAAAAAGACTGCAGCCTCTCTCTTGAGTGGACAGTGTGGCAATGGGAGAGTTACTGAGACCAACCTGGGAGAAAGACCTCCATGGGAGCAGTTGGTGGGCGAGGTGAGCGGGCTGCTGCAGCTGCTGGGCTGCTGTGGAGGCGTCCGACCTGCTGAGTTACTTGGAGACGCCTGCAGAGCAGAAAAACACATGACTTTAGTCCCAGTGCCAAACACTGGGGGAGAGCACATCTACGGTATACTAAACGGAAGGTCAGCACAGGTTGTTGTCATTCAGATACCTCAGAACTAACAGAACAGTTTGAATTGAGTCTGTGTGTGCGTTACCATTCCAATGCCGCTATTAATGCTGGCATTCCTCAGGTGGTTGTGCAGCAGCTTGGTGGTCCCGTTCTGGAAGGTTTTGGGCAGAGCTCCTAGCAGCATGGTGAACTCTGGAGTGTTGAGCTCAAACAGGGCAATGAGCACCACCTGGGCCGCCTGCACGCACACACAAAATGCATCTTACAGTAATTTATTGCTAGTATTAACTCCTGTACCGAGTCAAAAGCAGTGGACTGGCCTCTGCTGTTGCCACTAGCTCATTACGGTGTTTCAGTGTTTTTTGCTACTCAGCTTGAAAAACTATGAACTGAGAACTTTGCCAGTTTCTCTATTAGAGTGGCTCTAATGCAGTAAACCCCATTTGGACTGGATTCACATTTCAAAGGTTACAGCAGGAGGGAAGCAAGAAAATAAATAACTAGCTTTGAACCTTTTTTCCTCCTCCCATCAGTGTTGGAGTTAATGAACTGGTATCTATCAGTTTAACACAGTCCTTCTCTACATCTAGTTGTCACACAGGAGTCAAAATGTGTGAACAGAGACCTCTCTCAGCAGGGCTGTCCTTATGGAACCACCAGTGACGTTAAGTAATCTGGGCTGTAATTATCACTACGAGTTCCACGTGGGATTGGAATCACTGACCACGTCAAAAATCTAATGAAACAGGATAAAGAGACCACACAATCTCAACTTGAAAGTAAATATGAGGGTAAATGACATGTTAAGAAGCATATCTGTTGCAGTGAACATGCATAAAGTCCATTCTCACCTCAAACATGAAAAGTAAAGCTGGAAAAGAACAGTTTCTACTCCAAGTTTACTGACAAAAGTTCAAGTCAATCTGAAGAAACTGCATGCAGAACTCACCGGACCGGACCTGTCATGTTTGGACCAGTTGGCACAGTTAGACTCAGAGTTAAACTATACTACACTGTCCTTTTTCCTGACGATGACACTGAAACAGGACCACAATGCTGCTGAGGAGGGGTTAGTGTTAAAAAGCATTCATTTGCCAACTGTTATTTTGAGCGTTTTCACACCCACATGAGTGAGCAGGCTGACACTGCTCACTGGCTGGCTGGGTTAGAGGAGGTTATATACTCTGGTCGTGCTGCTTCATGGAGATTCTACCTGCTTGCACCTCTCCTCCAGGTTGCCCTCTCCAGGCACTGAGGCCACGGTGCTGGCTCGGCCTGAGAAATCCTCCCCTGCCCAGCTTTGAAGCGTCTGGGGGGGAGTTGGTGGATGAGAAATAACGATTGGAAAAAAAAATCAAGACGTGAAAAAAAGTAAACTAATGTTATAAATAAACAAACAGCGACAAAGAAAAAGGGGGCGGTGCTCTGAGGGAAGATGGCGACGACACTGAAATTCCACAATGTCCTGCCCCCCTACCTTCCGGACATCGGAGCTCTTGGGCTCTGTGGTCCAGGTGATGATACGCGAGACAGCGAGGCGCGTCTCACTGGATTTGACAAAGTCAGCCGGGTCCATCTGGCGAGCCAGGGCCTCGATGTAGCGCAGGATGGCCACCTTGACCTTCAGGTTGGGCGTCTGCGTCTGATCCACAATGAAACGCATCAAGATGTTGAACTGCTGCTCATACGGGAAAGACTCTCTGCAAGAAGATGGCAAAAATAAAGAGACAAAGGGCTGTTACCTCAGAAAATATCACTGTCTGAAAGTATCAGACCCAATTAATGGCCACACAAGGAGTAGGATTACTATTATTACTAAGGATTCTTGCAGAGAACATAATTAAAGGAGACTGGAATTGTGTTTTCTGCATATGTTTATGGATCAGGGCTTAAATAGTTTAAGGCTAATGTGAAGGCCTCAGTCCTGGCCTTCACCATGTGAGGACCTAAACCACCACCAGCCATGGACTTGGGTGGGTAATTTATATTGGACATACACAATTGATCGATGAGCATGCACGTTTGATTAATTTTGTATTGTTAATTTTAACCTTTTCTTTTGAGTTACCGTGTTTCCTGGTCCATGAATGGGGGGGCAGTTCAGCTAAAAGATTGGACTGAGGAAGCAGCAGGTTTAAATACCTCCCACTAGGCCTGGACTGCACCAAGTGCCCAATACAAGAAATGGGGGAGTTTGGGAGAAATGTATTGTTTATTTGTTGGTAGTTTATGTTAGAACTTTATTTGTCAAGTTATGTTAATTTCTTTACATTTAAAGGAAATATTTCGTTGTTTTGGCCAGCCAGTATATATGTTCCCTTGCGTGTGTGTCATTTGTCAGGTCAGTTGGTTTTGTTGAGGTATTAGACAGTTCAGTTTGCTGTATTTTGAGTTTCCTTATCCTTTGTTGACCTCTTTTAGGGCCCAGTTTATCTGATGTTAATTTAGTATTTTTCTTGCTTTTGGGTTAATAAAAACCCTTTATTTTGAACTTTGGAACCTGCGTCTTTTGTCTTACTGCTTGGTCCCTGACAGCTAATAAAAAGGCAGAAAATGTTCATAAGACACTGTAAAATCCAATTATCAGAAATAATTTAGATTATTTTAATGATTTCAATGGAAAGATTTCATCACTGTTCCTAACCTGGTGATGTCCAGGGCCTTCTGGACTTTGGCCTGAACGGAGCCCAGCAGGTCGGCCCCCATCTTCTTCAGCAGCTGGGTGAGCAGGACAAAGAGCCAGTCCTGCAGGTCGTCCCTGTGCAGTATGATGAAGTCCACCAGAGTCTCCAGAAACATGCTGAAGACCTGGGACAGAAAGGGAGGAGGGAAAGAACGTCGAATTCCACAATGTTTTTCTGTACCACAGTTTGTTCACAAGGTGTAAACGCACAGTGCTGCAGAAATGAGTCGAACAGCAGCCAATCTGATCAGAAGGTGAGTAAACACTTACTCTCTGGTGTTTGTTAGAATCCGCAGCAACAAGGAGACATGCAACAAGAAAACATCCTGTTAGTTTGTCCTGCAGTTAGTTCTGACACGTGAGCAGAAAAGCAGCAAACGTGCTCTGACCACCACATGCTGGCATTATTACATCAACCAAGGACATCTCAAAGTGATTAGGAGACTGCTGCTCCACAGAAACCACGTTTTCATCACGTTGCGGGCAGCATCACAGTGTAATCAGTTTTTACCAGGATGCACCTAAGTACCTGTGTGCAGGCTGGTGTTAGTTTCACCTTGGTTGTCAGTCATACAGGCTGTGAAGCATGCTGTGTGGCAGAGGTTAGGCTGGACTGGACCTCACCTTGCTGTGAGGGTCAGCAAACATCCTGGTGAAGATCTCACAGAGCCGCTTCAGCTCCACACGACTGTCGGAGAAAAACAAGCAGCAGATTTAATGTCAATCACCAAACGCTCCCAGACATCTATGCAGAACAAGACCAGTTTATATACAGTCCCCGTTTTTGAAACTCCATACATATTCACACCATGAAAAGTGCTGTCACACAAGTGTCTCCTCGCCTACCTGAGAATCCTCTGGCTCTTGAGCAGGTTCTGCAGTCCAAGCAGTCCCTCCTTCCTCTCAGACCAGTTGGCGCTGGCACAGTGGTTCAGCACCTCTGCGACGTCCTCCGTTTGACGCAGAAACTGTGGCGTCATGCTGCCGTTGCGCGAGTTGAATGAGCGCTCTGAGCAGGCGCTGGAGGCGTCGCTGTTGGCGTCGTCATCAGAGTACATACCTGGTGACTCAAAACGCCGCCTTACCGGTCTCCGCTGAGCAAAAAAAAAAAAAGAAAGAAATGGTACTAAGATTTACAGATAGGACTGAAAAGTAACACAGCGGATCTAGAACTGCTGCTGAGACAAGATCAACCATGCAGCTGCTGAGTTACAGTAAGGCACATGCAGGTCTCTGATAATGTGACGCGAGATGGATGTTTGACACACGTTGATGTGTTGCTTTTGGTTTTACTGAACCAACCAACAACCTGTCTGTTCACCGCTTTAATGTCACAGCATGACATCTCTGTGGCACACAGACAAACCTATACATGGCTAGAGTTCTACAACAGCACTGCATCCCTGTTCATTCTGTCACCTCCAGTTTTAATATATGAGTCGATGTTTGAAGCTCATGCTCTGCATGCATTGAAAGACTGAATGAATTCTGAGGCAGATTTAGTACCTTACTCCTCGAATCTCCTAAGAGCTGAAATAAACAACGTCCAGGAAACAAGAGCACAGAAGAAATTACTGCAGGATTGTACAAGCTCTAACAACAACCAATCCAGTTTTGTCATTTCTTATTTATTAGTATTAATTCTTACTAGAGCATCTGCCACAGCAGCCTCGACCTCTGTGCCGGTGTTGAGGATTCTCATGGCGTTGACAGAGGCTGAGATCCGAGCCTGATGGGACAGCCGGTCTAAATGGGAACAGGCCAAACACATTTTAGCAGATCGAGAGGAGTGTGTTACAGTGACAAAGAGGCAATAAACTCCACGGTGCAGATGTCAAGGTGCAGGTTCTTAAAATTAAATAATAAATAAAATGAAGGGGACCAAAACTTTCTTCACTTAAGTACAGAAATGAAGCTTTTATTTATTTTTACTATATATGTCAGTGTTAAACAGAAAAGGTCTGATTCCCAGATGTGAGTTGGAGTGAAGAGTGTCTTGGTCTGTTGTTGTGGGTTTCAAATGGGCTCAGGTTGAGTGAGATGTAATTTTTTACTCTTTAGGTTATTCAAAAACAACCATTTTAGAGGATTATAAAAATGATTTTGAATTCATCAGCAGGGGCATAGATAATTTTACACAACACTCAACCCAAAACAATTATCAAAAAACTATTTGGCCATGAGAATGTAAAAATGAAGCAGAAAGCATCCAGGAAGTTGTTGAACCAGCTAAAAAAATAAAAACAAAAGTCAATCTATATGATAAAAGTACAGAAAAGGTGAAGTGAATCAAGTCTGTTTAATTAAAATGCTGAAAATAACGCAGTAAAGTTGACATCATATCACATAAAACTTCATCAGAGAGCTGCAAAATAAAGAAACAAAGTAAAGGCAGAATCTCTTCTTGATTTACAGCTCACAGCAGAACCTAAACCACCAACACCGAGCTCTGCCTGATCGACCAGCTGCCCTGGCAGGTCCATCACCCAAATAGCTCAGATAAACTCAAAAACCACTGACAACATTTAATCCTAATCTCGGTGGTGGTTATTTCACACTCCACAAGAGACTGGAGGTCGACTTCAGCCATGCAGAGAGAAGCTTCACAAAGCAGGAGAAGTCAGTTAGCCAGATAAGTAAACAGGAAATAGGACGGAATAATGTTTCTGACACAAAAAGCTTTTTTTGTTTGTGTGTATCTGGCTAACTGAGCAAATCTGGTTCCTGTGAAGACCGCGTGATCACCTGAGTAGCACTCTGCAGAGGACAGGGCGCTGGTTGAACGGGAGTGACGGTGACTCGCTGGAAAGCAAAGTTACAGATGTGTTGACTGATTAAACATAGACACCTGCCTTGTTATCATTATAGGGTGTATGATGTAAAAAAACATTTTCTGCATTAAAGTTTTTGCACATATTTAAAGTAATTAGAAGATAAATATAAGAGAACAGACCACAATCTGGACATTTTTATACAGGGCATGCAGAGAATCAGGAAGGAAAACAGATGTGCAGGCTAAGAAGAGAAGAGTGTTTATGTTAAAGTGATGTGAAGCTGTTAGTGTGCTGAAGCTGTCAAACAGAGCTAGCTTTCTTCTGCACTGGAGGTCTTCTGATTTTGCATGTGTGTGTTTCAATCTATTCTGTGCTCCTACCAAATTTTACAAGACCTTATTTATTTATTACATGTCTTTATTTCTAAGTTTCCAGATGCTGTCTTCACCCCTCTGTATGAGCTCTGGTACCATACTCACCCAGGGGGGAGAAACCCCTGGCAGGGCTGGTGTCACGGCTGCTCTCGCGACTGGTTTCGCGGCTGCAGCCCTGACTCATGCTTGGTCGGGGGATTCGACTCCGGGCTAAAGAGGCGAGGCAGAGACAGACAGACAGACAGACAGATGGACAGACAGCAGTGCAGGGGGGAGAGATAAGTCTGCAGCACAAACAGCCAGACACTAACACACCTGAAGCTCAGAGATGGTTAGTCAGGCACAAGACCAGGGAGAATAAGACTCAGAGAGGCAGCAGGCACGGTATTAGTCTGAGGAAAGGGAGCTAGATATTCTGTTGTCTTGTGAGGTGTGGGTGCAGATCTGTGCAAGTACGACAGTCAAACTTTCAACTCACACTTAAAAACATCTGATCCATAAATTTCCTTTAATCAGTGACTTTAGCTCCTTTCACTCCTCACACCTCAACTGACATCTTCATTTTTATACTGGAACTAAAAGTCAGGTCCAATGCTGTGGTTTTCTGCCAAGTTACCTTTCAGTATTTAGTACTTCAACTAAGTTCAATATTTTTAGACACTTCAGACTGGCAATAATTATTTATCGGCCAACATTCCTCCAGAAACACAGCCTTTTATATCATTTTAATTCTAACTTTCTAAAGACTTTGTCTTCCTTTTTCCATTCCAGTGGTTGAACGCGCTCCCTACCTGTGCCTGATCTGGTGGGGCTGGTCTCTCGGCTGCAGCCTTGGCTGCGGTGACCTCGTGGCCGGCTCTGGTCAGTCAGACTGGTGGCGGTGCTGTTGGCGGCAGTGGTGGTGGTGGTGGTGCCCATCGTCGACCTGGGGATCCTGCCGTAGGTGGAGCTCAGCAGTCGGCCAGGAGACCCTGACCTACTGCCAGCTGAAACAGACAAGACAACAGTTCAGTAGCTCATCATTTAAAGAGTGATGATGTGTACATGTAACTTCTCTTTATTTTGATGTCATTTTTGACTGTTTAGACAAAGTTACTGTGCAGCTGCTTGTATTGAGACAGTATTAAACGTTTGAGAATTTGTTCTTCTGAATACCAAAAGCATTTTGTAGAAGATGTTTATATTTCTCAGAGTAAGGAATCAAAAAAGTACAACTGTAGTATCAGCATTAGTAGTAAAAAAAAAAAAAAAAGCTTACAGAAAAGTACACAAGTAAATAAATTGAACATCTTTTTGTTAATTCACTTTTCATTTAATTTTTAGTGAATATTTGTAACAAGTGGAAGCTGCTGACGTTGAGACTGTGAGACGACTTTCCCTCTGCTCCGACCCCGGCTGTCCGTCACTGACGGACCATTTCCTGAACTCGTCCTCGGCGTTCGTACTCGGCCTGGTGAGGCAGAAGATGCGAAAAAGAGAGTGAGCGGAATATAAAGACTGCTGCTGTGTTTTGAAGTTGCATTTCTGTCATGCAGGAAGAGGGTGAAATTAAAATTCAGAGCCTAAGGAGGAAAATATGAAAGAGGATATGAAACCAGGGAATAGTGAGAGATGGAAAACAGAGGAATGACGCCAGACTGATTCATAAAAACAAAACCAGAAAGGGGCTGCTGTGAATCATCCTCTTTTTTGCATCCTTCAGAAAGCAGCATGGGGCACGGTTAAGGGCTTTTACATCAAGGTATAAAACCAGTCTTTCCTGAAAATCCACAATAACCCAAAAAAATATCAAAAGTGACAATGTGACTATAGCTTTCTACATTTTGGAGCAGGATAACTTTTTTTAATACATAATTCACCTTTGGATATTTTTGTCACACTGAGCCGACATTTGTGCCAAATGTAATACAACTGTATAGAGTTTCTTAAAAGCTTGCAATAACAATTAAAGAAACATGTGGATGGACAGTAACGTGCAGTTTTACTTTGAACAAAGACACCATGACACACAGAGGCGCAGTAAGAGATAACAGGTCAAACATGCACCAGTCCAACAAGTTTGGTCTTTGTGTAACAATACAACAGTGTTTTATGTGAATCAGGGTGGAAACTAACAATGACATTTTATAAAGGACAGTTCTAAAGGTTCAAGCCTGTGGACACAGAAATGTAAAGAATAACAACTACAACTCCCAAGGTGCATTGCAGGGCAAAATAGCTACACAGAAAGATAACATGTTGTAGTCTGCTGGGTACAATTTGGATAACTGTGATAACTTGTCAGTGTTGGATGATTTCAGCAACTGTGTTGCTGTACTCTGAATTCACACTTGGACTGGCTTCTTCTCCATAACAACTCACACTAAGGAAAATGTGTGCTGTAGTATTTAGAGCCACAAATGACGACTATAACACAATTTCATAGAGCCAAAGTTGAAACGGTACAACTGAAAACCTGAACTGCTGACATGGAGAGAAGAGGGACTGAAGAAAGAGCCCAGCCTTAAGGGAGGATGTTGCATCATGAACTGAGGATAAATTACAGGAAAACTCTGAGATGGAAAAATACTTTCAGAGCCAACGGTTTCCCCAGTTCTGCATCTATATTTGTTCTCCAGATATCTGTGAACTTCACCAGAAAAGGTGTAAGGATCCATCCACCACCACCACCAACTCCAACAACCCGCCTGCTTTCATTCTGTCTTCACTCACCACTTGGAGATAGACAGTTTTTCTACAAAGGTACAGTACACCATGCATAGACAGACCATGCACTGACAGTTCCATCACAGATGACCAGTACTGATGAGGGGAACACACACTGAAGAGGCATGGAGGACCTCCATTCCCCCTACACACACAGCTTACCGTCTACATTAACAGAGCACGAGCCGTCTGACGGGTGGGCAAGCCCAAGAGAGAGACAGCAAGGGTTAAAGGTCAGGGCTCAAAGGTTAAGGCTCAGATATGCTTGTGCACAGGTAGGGCAGAAAGCTGGAGTGTGTTATCTGATTAGATCAACACGTCTCAGAAAATTTGGATATAAAGAGAGTAGAGCCTGTACACTGCAGCGATTTGTTAGGCAACTCGACTATGAACCCAGGCATCAGAGCTGTCATCTCTGAGTTACTTACTGGTAAACAGTAAGGAATGTGTAGAGACCAACAGCTTCATACTTTGTGCCTCTCCATGTTTAACACATAGTTTTACCTTTAAGATAAAATTACCAGCTAACAGAGCCATATGACAGTATTGGTAGTCGACATGTAGATGAAATCTTGTACGATGTCAGTACTTCCCAAGAATCAAGAGAGACCAGTCTGCATTACTTTATGGTGCTACAAAAACAGGACCATAAATCTGACCATGTACGGATATGAGGTGGTCTGTCTCACCCAGTGAAGCGTAGGATCCAGGGGGGAGTGCAGAGGCTGAACTGAAAGGCGATGATGGCACAGCAGAGGACACGGCGGGCATCCTGGTGCGGGCTGTGGCAGTGGCAGCGGCATTGACATCCACATCACTGCGAGAACGCTGGAGGGAACCTGGAGAGGAGGGGGCAGCAGGCGTCCTGGAGGTGTGGGCAGCTTTGGCTGCAACAACAAGCACAGATACCTTTCTTGTATCTCGAACAATATTCTACACTGTTGCACATGTTCAGGGGTTTCATTGCAACAAAACATGGTGAGGAGTTTTTCAGGAGTATATACACATACAGCATGTCGTAAACAAATATGAGAGTGGAACAAAATGTCCTTACATCTGGTTGTGCCGCTGCCGGTGGTGCTTTTTACAGACAGGGGTCGACTGAGGAGACAAAAAGTAAAAAAAGACAATATCAGTAAACTGCTTGCTTCAAAGAAACAAGAGGTTGTCAATGATTAGTGGTTCTGCAATGTGAGGCAGCATAAAACCAAAAACTACAAACATACTTAAATATTCCCCAGGACTGTAAATTAAAATGTTTAATATATTGTTGGTCACCTGCTCACAGTGTGCCCTTGCCGGCCCTGTGCGAGAGCTTTTTTAGGCCAACATCTAAAGTCCCTTTCTTGTCCAGTGTTTTGGAGAAAGTTGTTTTTAACAGCTTCATTTGTTTTTAGATCATTCTAACATCTGTGAAAGGTTCCAGTCTGGGTTTAAGTCTTGCCTCAGAACCCAAACACCTCTGCTAAGAGTTTTTAATGATCTTCTTTTAACTGCTGACTCGGGAAGCTGTGCCATCTTAGTTCTTCTTGATCTGACACCATGGGCCATCAGATCCCTCTATCATGTTTAGAACAGTGCCGGTTAAAGGCACTGTCCTTGAATGGTTTCATTCTTATCTGACAGATAGATCAATCTCTGTTCACATAGTCTGTATTCCTCCTTCATAGCTCCACTTTCTTGTGGGGTTCAAGGGTCCATTCTGGGCTTTATATTGTTTTATTTTTACTTGCTACCCCCGGGGTCTATTTTTAGGAAGCATAATGTCTCATTTCACTGTTTTGCCAGTGCATATTTATTTGCCCATACAGCAGTAGGGAAACTTTACATCCCTTGCTAAACTGCCTAAATAACATTAAAACTTTGATGGACCTTAATTTTCTACATTTAAATGAAAGCGAGACAGAGATTATTCTGGACTTCCTGACCAGATGAATGATCCTGTTGGTTTTTTGGCCCTGTTGTATTATGTAACAGATCTTGGCAGCTCTTAAACTAAATAAACAAATTAGCTTCGTAGTGAAAACTAGCTTCTTCCAGCAGAGATTGTTGGCCAAGGTAACACCTTTTCTGTCTTTTAAAGATTGAGAAAGTTATTCATGCTCTTATTACCTCATGTCTGGACTACTGTAACTCCCTTTGTGTGAGTATTGATCAGTCAGCTATAAATCGATTCCAATTAATCCAAATTGCAGCCTCTCGTCTTTTGACTGGAAAAAAGAAGTGGCTTCCCGTCTGCTTCAGGGTTGATTTCAAGATTCTTTTACTTGTTTTTAAGGTTTTCAATGGGTTGGCCCCTCCTTATTTATCAGAACTAATCCACGTTCACAAGCCATTCAGAGCTTTGAGCTCAGCTACTCCGATGACCCCTGATGTGCCCAGAACAAAGCTAAAAAACAGAGGTGACCAACCTTTTGCTGAAGCTGCACCAAACCTATTGAAGCCTCTCTGCCTTTTAACATACGTACTGCCCAGAGCCTCGAAACGTTTACATCTCTGGTGAAGACTCCTCTGTTTTCACTGGCATTCAGTTGAGTAAAGACACTCTGTTTTACTCTTATGTGCTTCTATTCTCTATTTAATTGTTTATCTTCTGATTATTTGTTTTATTTATTTAGTTTTATTCTGTAAACAATCTTAATTTTGTTTGTTATTTCTACTCCTGTTTGTTCAGCACTTTGGTCTTTGTGGTTGTTTAAATTGTGCTATATAAATAAATGTGACACTGACTTGTGTCCCTTACGTTTATGACTCATTAAGACACGATCAATCTGGCTCCCCACCCCCACCCCCACCCTGCTGTCCAATAAACTAACATCATCACTGAGCTCAAACAAACAACATATTAACAACTCAGATGAAACTTGACAGAAAGAAATGATAAAAAGACAGAGAATCTAAGTTCATGATCGGCTGTCTGTGTATTGTTTAAGAACCAAAAAGCAAACTCCAGTTATTTGTGTCTCAGTTCAGGAGCCTGGAGTCAAACTACAATCAGAACTTCCTTTTGCACACATTAGTTTTGGCTGGATGATTTTTCCAAAAGAGAGCTTTGATCTAGATGAACATGATCAGACAGTGAATGTATTGTATGTTACGCTTCCCAGCTAGTCAATGAATCGATCAGAGCGGAGGAGGAAGTGCCTCACTTTAAGCTCTCCTGAGAGGAGGAGGAAGAGCGATCCGAGGCAGGCAGCGATGTCAGACTGTCTCCGCTCCTCAGGTGAGCCTGCAAAGCTTTCTGATAGGACAGCTCCAGCCCCTGGAACAGCTGCTCCGCCTCCCGGCTGAAATGGCCGTGGAAACCCCAGTAACACCTGCAATGGCAAGCCAGAGGTCAAAAAGCAACCATCAGGATGTTTGTTTTGGAGGCTGACTTCACATGCACTGCTTCCTGTTTGCTTCTGTTCTCACTGACTGGTCCAACAACACTATGAAATCTCTTCAGCTTCAATGAACATAAATAAATAAGCACTGGTAAAAGATCATGACGTCAGCAATATTTAAAGTTTGGTTGATTGTTGCTCCCTATGTATTTGCATGGGTTCAGAAAAAAAGGGACTTACTTTCTGGCCACGGAGCGAACCTCAGCATCCGCATCATGGATCCCTTTTTTTATGGTCTCCATTAAAACTGTTCCATGTCTACAAGGGAAAATGTGCAGAGAAGCTGAGAACGCCGATGTAACAGTGGTGTGTGTGATAGCACAGGTTAATACATGCTGATAAAAACATTTAATAATCAAAGGCTTGCAATGCAAACAAGGCCAGTGCTTCATTAGTGCAACTCTTTAGAAGCAACAGTCACCAACATGCTCTGGTTCCACCTCCTTTAATGTGAGGAACTGATGCTTTCCCATCTCTACCATCCATGCCAAATGACGTGCACACAGTATGAGCTGCAGCACTGACCCCTGAACTCCTGTGTGGCTGATAAACCTGCCATTTGCTCTGCAGTAAAGACCAGTATGTGAACCACATCTTCGGGCTCTAAGAGCTGCGTGAATCAATACTTTACAGTGCCCATGTTGCTCCGTTTCTGCTGGATGAGGAATATGAGGCACCTGTTTGAAGAACCTGAGCTGAAATTGTGATTCACTGCTGCCTGCTTTGTTTCGCAATGACAAGAAAACACATCATAAAGTTTTTGATAAGTGCAGATATAACCCTAATACAGCCCGAATCCTCTTACTTCTATTTTTGCTTGTGATTCTTTATTATTTCATAGTAACTTCTCTCAGGCTAACGATGCTGCATTTTTTATAAAACTGTCTGATTTCTTCTGGATCTACAGAATCAGCAGCTCACACACACACACACACACACACACAGACTGAGTGATCAGTGATAACCAGAGAGCTCCCCTGGTACTAGGGGTTCAACTCAGGTTTCTCCCTGGTGGCAGCAGCAGAAAGCAGCCATGCAGAAACACAGCCATCCTTTTAGAGGCAGACAAAGATCCCCCTGGCATCACCATGGAAACTGCTGAGCTAGACCTTGACCCAGCCGGTGTCATATTTCTTGACAAGGATGCATGTAGTACTTCAAACCATCACTATCCATAGTTCCCACTGTCACTACATGCTTGTAGTGTTCATATAAAAACTGTTTTTTTAATGGTGTGCAGGACTCTTGACTAAAAAGCTGTTTTCTGTGAGAGGTCGAATGGCTCTTATGGTTATACCAGTTATGATCCTGGTATTAACTTTGACCTCCTGCAGGGTAATCTGTCCTCACCTCTCCAAACAGCCTGTCTGCCACTCCTGCAGCTGCAAGTCCAGGAAGTCGTAGCAGCGCCTGCAGAACATAAGTAAAACAAAAACACATTCAGGCTTCTACATTTAGTTCTTTTTGAAACTCTTCCCCAACTTTCCAAATGCATCTGGGCACCTTGAAAAATGAGAGTAATAAGAGCAGAGCAACACAAAAGGGACCTGCAAGTTAAACCACATAAATCTCACAAGACGCAAACACCAACAAAATCAAATGAATATAAAATAAAAGAATAATGCATGAATAAATAAAAGATGACTACATTCATAAAATGAAATAAAAATGGATAAACAAAGAAATAATAGTACATTTAAAAATCTGAAATACAATAAAATATCCATTAATAGAAAACACACAAATAAAATCCAATAAAGCAAAAACAATTTAAAAAACAAACAAAAGTAAATTAAAAAATAATATATAAAAGAAAATAAAAAACAATAAAATAAAAATCAGGATCCAAACAAAGTGAAATATGTGCACTGCTCACCTTCTGACAGCCACAGATTTGGAGGTACAGTTGCTTGTGATGATGGGGATGAGACGTGGGTAGTGCGTGCGCTGCAAAACACAAGAAACTGGTGTCACACCTCAGTGTGACCTGATGCACTTCAGTTCTCTTCCTTCAACACACAGCGAGCCAAAGATAACTGATAAAATGATATTATTATATAAACAATTTGCTCAGTCACACTACAACTGAATCTTTTCTTTTTGAAATAAAATGTGATTCAGTTGAGTAAATCACATTTGTCTGTGGATATTTTCCTGTTATGACATCAAGTTAACATCATTATAACACTGTTGCGTGAACATATTCACTTCTAGGAGCACAACACAGGAAACCACTTTTATTTCCCCGAACAGACGCCATATGGCTGCATGACAGTGGCTCATTTAAATGTCAGACTCAGCGATCATCAGCACAACTACATCAGACATGTTGATGTTATCGCCCTAAACGTAAACATCCTCTAAGGAAACATGGCACGTACTCGGAGGATGAGGCGGATGGCGGCCACACCAGACGTGGCCATGACTTTGGCACTGTTGGGGACCAGGTTGAGGAGGGTTGGCATGATAGCCTCTGCCGCGTGGTCAAACCGGCTGCCGAGCACCAAAGACAGGTGGCTGGTGATAGGAGAGCAGAGCAGGCAGTTTGTCCAGCCACACAATAAATAAGTGCAATGTGTTGTACAGAACAACAAGCAGTGAAACAGGAGGAAAATACTCCTGCATGCCACGACTATCAAGCTCATGAGATTCAGAATCTCAAACTGCTCCTTTAAATTACTGATTTTGTTTTCCACCGACTTAGTGAATTCAACAAAAAGCTGGCAATTACAAGTAACTCAAGCAACTAATATCTTACAGGAGTGAAAAATGCTAGCCAAGAAGATGTTATAAGATAACCACTGATGTAAGGCAAGAAAATATTTTAGAGAACTATGAGGCATAAAAGGCGAAAAAGGAAAAAGCACCATTCTAAAAATAGAAAAATGTGGCAGCGCTGTGACCTCCAGACGGTCTCACCCCAGAGTGATGCAGGCCTCTCGAACCACCTGAGAGCGGAGGTCTTTGGCAGACAGTTTGAACGCCGCCTCCATGAGCCGCAGCTGCGGCAGAAACCCATCAAACTCTGCTGCGCCGGCCAGGAGCAGCGAACGCACCTTCTTCAGCTGGAGGAGCATGAAAAGAGAGGAAACTGCAGTCACCACACAGAGTGATACATCAAACTGTGAGGAGAAAAAGGCCAGGACATCTTACAGCTGCCACTCTGAGCTCCCAGTCCCTCTTGTCGTCTGACAGCACATCTCGAATCTTTGTCATTGCTTCCTCCACCTCCCTGTTAGAGTAGATCTGGTGGGGGGCAGGAAAGAATAAAGGAGAGGGTGGATAAAAGGAAGCAACACATTATGAGCACTATTCAGGGAAAACCTGAGGCGATGACGAGCCTTTTCCAGACTTCACCTAATTCTTCCTGCACCATATGGAGCCTTTATAACATTATAAAATATATACTACAAAAGTGAAATAAACAGCTTCATACCTGCACTGTGGGTACATCTTCAAAAGCCTGGATGAAGTCCTCCTCATCCACAGCTCCAGCTCCAGCACCAGACCCGTCCCTCCCTACAGACACCAGGGTGAGAAGTTAGAGCCAGACACCAGGTTTGAAACCATCAGGAACATTTTAATAATGCATGTTCTCCACCACATGACACATCAGCAACCTTTAACTGAAATATTCAAACATCAAAACTCAACAGTCATTTAACATGAGCAGTGTTTACAAAACGAAATCTTTTAAATGAAAGATAAAAAATGAACAACTGCCTTCAACTAAATCCGACAGAAGGTCTTCCTGCAGTTTGTGTGTAAGGTTTACATCCCAGAGTTTTCATGTTACTGACTGAGCACGTTAGGTGTGAACATGTTGACCAGCAGTGAGTACAGTTGGCAAAAATACATCAAGCACACAGAACATGTGATGCAAACAGCAGTCAATCACTGAATGGTGATTCCTAATAAATATTTCATTTGTTGTAAGAATTCAAATTTGTGCTTTCACATTTGGATATGAATATTGAATGGAGACCCATCAGACAGGTGCTGGCTCTGACCTGCAGACTTGGTGCTGGAGGCGGAGGCAGGGCGGCGAAACGAGCCCATGCTCACCGCCTTTCTTCCGGATAGCGAGGCTGCTTTGGACGAAGACGAGGAGCGGCCGCCATCCACCGAGTCATCGTCCTCAAAGGTTTTGTCTGGAGGAGGAAAAGCAAAGAGAGCTCTGGTCACGTGACTGAACAACAAGTCTTCCCAAAGAAAATGCCACCACTGAGAATCCTAGCATTGCAGAGCAGACAGGCGTCCTGACATTTCTGCCTTTTAACTGGCCCTGACCCAAAGGACATAACTCACATTCCTGCATCACCAAGAGAACAGAGAGCGAAGGTCACAGACACAATGCCCTGACAACAAACTGGACAAACAACCCTGTGTTCCCACTAAGAAGCACAGAGTGACTGCAGACGACAAATGCAAACAAAGAAATTGTTCTCTGAGCTCAAAAAACAGACTATTGATGAATCATCCGGATATTGATTAACCCAGGAACAATTCATCATTTGCCAGAAAATTATTTAACATTTAATTGAAGTCATTATCAACCAGAAGCACCAACGATTCTCTGGTTCCAGCTTCTGAAATATGAGCGTTTGCTGCTTTTCTCCATTTTAAGCCACTGTACAGGAAATGGAAAACCTTTGGGGCAGTTGGTCAGACAAAGCAAGACATGTGATGCTTTCTCAGAAACTGATGACCACTGCAAGGTGTTATTATGTACAGGAAACAACAGACACTGACAGGACTGCATGCATAAAAGTGGTACAAGTATCAGACACCAAAAGACTCTCAGCCATCTAGTTAGTTAGTTAGTTCTTTGTGCAAACTGGGCTCGAGTTGATAGTCAGGGCTGCAGATGAAGTTTGTTCTCATAACTAGTTCATCTGCTGAATATATTCTTGATGAATCAATTAATCTTTTGGCTTAAAATATCAGACTAGTGAACAATAGCCTTTACAATTTCCTTTTATGTCCAACAAGCAGTTCAAAAAGTATTTAGTTTGTATAAAAGCAACAAATCCTCGTGACAGTTTCAGCTTTAAAGTTATGTTAAAATTCATATACTGTATACTGTACAAGAAGCCATTTGCAGAATCAGTGCCCTCGAGTAATGTGTGGCAGAAAAGCTGCAGCCCATCATTCAACAGAAAGATATCCATGATGAGTGGTTGATTTCTGAACATTTCTGTTGGTGGAACTGCTGAATACTCTCTAATATAAACAAAAAGGTCCTGTACTGACTTTTAACTGCCCAGTAAATAAATACACAACAATAACTACCAGCTCAAAGCGGCACAGCCTGTGGTGGAGGACAGAGCAGCACAAGTCCCCCTCAGCAAAGGAATCTGCCTGGGCTGGTAATCAATCGTCTTTCATTATTCAAGGTTTACACACACACACACACACACACACACACAGGCATGTATGCACACAAAGCTGCATGGCACTTAACCAAAACATCAGTCATGTCCCATCAGGTTGCAGTATTTTCTCTGTGCAGAAACAAAAAGCCATGCAGCACCTCTCAGTATCATCACAAGGCGAGTGTGTGTACATGAAGGTAAACAACAAGCTCACCTGATTTTTAACATATTAACACTAACACAACGTGACAGGAGGAAGAGAAGCAATATTTACTGCACTGCACCGTGTTTGTTTTACTGGTCCAACCCTCTTTGAGGATCATTTCATTTAAATTCAGCATCTTGTCAGTGACTTAATGTGATGCTAAAAAAGAAAAGAAACATAACTTGTGGCACCAGAACTATTATGTTATATCTGAATACAACAGAACAGGCCACAACATCAAGCTATTCAGTTCTAATTTAACCTTGACAGCCTTAGTTCTCACACATTAACCTGTCTACTCCATGACAGGTCTGTAAGTTATTTGTCATTTAAATAAAATGGTAAATGAAAACCTAAACCTCCACATCAGACAGACCACGTTCAATTTCCGCAGCTTCCTGACCTTAATTTTGCTCACAGAGAGACACAAGGCTGCATCCTGTGTATTGTCCCCACAACAATTCAGCTGAGATCAGGCCAGGAAATCATCCTGCTGTGTTTATGTTTGAGACATCGCAGATACATTTCTCCTGGATTTATAGCTGTCGTCACACCAGGCACCCCAACCCCCCCACTGCCTCCCTCCTTTCTCCAAATGCCTGCATTCATCATTGATTACAACCGCCACTATTGCTCTCTACTACCAGTTCCGTTCAATCCCTCCCTGCATCCACAGGCGGCAGCAGCTTACAGGAGCAGATCCGCCTGCAGACCAGTTTCCTCAGCATGCCGGCAGACAGACAGACACCCGGTCATGTGGTCCTCTGGTCCTCTGTGGTCATCACATCTTCTCCCCTGGCCAAGGAAGGAAAAGAGCAGTGGAGGAAGGGGAACTGCTTTCCTTCCCCTCTCCTGCCAGAGAGCATGTGCTTCGATATGATCTCTGTCTTCGTCCTCTAGTTCACTTCAGCGAACACACGCTCACCAGGATGGAGGAAGTGGAATGGGGGATGGAGAGAAGTGATGGGGGGGGGAGTGGACCAATGAGAGGAGAAGGGAGGAGTCGTTCAGGGCTTGTCCTGGAGGTGGAGCTGGTGGGTGGACTCAGAGATGAGGGACAGTTGCAGTACAGTCTCAGGATGACTCAGGAGGCAGCAGGAGGGAGGGATGGATGGAGAAACACCACCTCCACCTGAGTTCATCCTTCAGCAGTTTCGTCACAGTAAGGTCACTGCCGGTCCACATGTGAGATGAGAAATAACTCCTACAACACTGACACAGAGGTTTATATGTGTGCAATAGCTAACACCTCAGGTTGGATGCAGACTGAGGAGCTGTACCAACTAAACATCCTATTTTTCTTTCTGTTGATGCTGAGCTGTAGAAAACTAATCCTAATTGTGTCCATCCACTAATTAGTAAGTATTCTGATATAAACAAGGTAGTTCAGCAACATTTTCAGCTCCTCTGGGGATCCAAAGGCATATTCACTATTACTTTTGTATTATTTTGCTTTAAACAACCAGCAGCAAGTCCTGCCCTGCCAGAGTCCTTTCTGTTGATATGAAAGCTGCAGTGTAGCCCAGTTAATCTCTTGTTTTCACTCTGATTTAAGTGGCTACTTCTAAAACTACCACTGACTCTGGTGTAGGAAGATGACAAACCAATTCATAATTCTACCAACAAAGCTCTGAGCGGCTTTGTTGTATTTGCACCTGTGGAAACACTGGCCCATTTAAACGGCCAAAAAAAAAAAGAAGCAATGAATCTGGGAGGTCTGGAACATGGCTTGGATTAACAATAAAAGATCTGTTTGTAAGTGTTAAATTCATGGCAGTAAAGACAGAGTGTCTCACAGTCAGTCTGCTTCATTTGACTTTTAAATGCACCTTCATGACCAGTGGCAGCAGCTCTGAATGCAAACTGAGTGACACTGCTTTTAACCTTTCAAGGGAAGAAGCCTCCATGTGCAGCAGTTCACCTGCTCTAAGTAGGTCAACCAGAATCTGACTCAGTTTTAACCTCATGCACATTCATCAGCAAACAAAAAAAAAAAAATCCCATTTCATCTCCAATTCAAACACCTGCTCTCAAAAAGGAATTCATGCTGATGACATATCAGATACCATGGAAGCAGCTCCTTCCACAAGATGGCAGTGTAAGCCCACTGGTTACACTGCCATCTTAGTCTTAGCACTGGGCTAATTTTACATTTTCATTTATCATTTTCTTCATACAGGCAGAGGAAACAGGAAGACAGATTGAAGGATATATAAAAGAAGGTCAGTAAAACCTCTGCACCAAACAAAATACAAGGCCTAGTTTCACAATCACACAATCTTCTTGTTCATTCTGTCCCTGAATTGTCTGATAGTGAAGGAACAAACAGCCAAAGTGTACTGGGAGCATTGTCTAGAGCACAGTCACTCACTCAGGAGGTCAACTGCTCCCCAAGGATTTAATGGAAATGATCCCACTGAGAGGAACAGAGCCCCTCCGGAGACCATTTGATGAAACTCTGAGACACAATTTGGATTTGTAAGGTTTGTATCCCCAGTTAGCGGCTGGATGGGAACCTTTGTTTTGTGTCATTCCAGCTCTCTCCCATCTTTCTCTGTCACTTCACTAGTGTGGTTGTTTAACAAAGGCAGCTTTGGTCCAAAAGTAATATATGGGAGACCATATATCAAAAAAGAAGCAACAGAGAGTGAGACATCCAAACTTTCAGCATCTAACATGGTTCACAAATAAAAACACTGGATTCTACAGTTCCCATGATGCAACTTTTCTCAGACCTGGCAAAGCTCTTCCATAGCCACAGATGACATTACACAACTGTGCTCACCCGCTGAGGTGTACGAACCACGATGTGTCTGACATGTGAAATTGGTGGAGAGTCCTCTGAACGTTCACAGCTGTGTTACAAAGGGATATTAGCTGCTCATATCAAAAAGAGTGATACTGAAGAATGACAATCATGATTGCACAATCAAACAGCGGCTGCAGCTGAGCACCTCCTTTGGATGCCAGGTCAGAAGTTTTCCAACTGGCAGCATCTCAAAATCCTCAGGAGCTTGGAGCCTGACACCGGAGCTTCCCGATGCAAATTCTCAAAATGACCAGAAGGCTTTCAGGAGCGCAGAGTGCTGCATCACCGACTCGAGAGGAAACTTGTAAGTGTGGGAGGATGGGATTCCCACCAGACAAACTCACAGCAGGTAATGAGTCTCCACAGAGATCAAATACACTGTCATTTGTAATTCCAACTCTTTCTCTACCTGCACCTCAAGTTTACTTTTTTAAATCAATTTGCCACTCAGAGCTCAACACAACTTATTTTACAGTATTTCACTGCCCTAAATAAATTAAAAATGATACCTGCATCAAATAATCATGCAGCTCTATAGCTCAAAGGTGAGCTGCAACCTGTGGACATGACACGATTCAAGTTGTGTTCAGCCTTTCATTGCTGAACGAATGCAGTGAGAAACACCCATGTACGGCTGAGCCAGGTGGAACAGTGGGAGGGACGAACGAATGCAGTGAGAAACACCCATGTTGAGCCAGGTGGAACAGTGGGAGGGATGTTCCCACAGAATGAGCAGGCTTCATTCACAACTTTCTCACCAGATCACAATGTTCCTTAACCAAGCAAAAGTCTGAGTTTTTAAGAGAAAGCAAGGATTTTATCAGCCATTAGGCAAGTATTTCAAGTATGTCAAAAACTAGGCTGGAACTCGTGAAACAATGAGCGGCTAGAAAACACTGAAAACCAGCCACTGTGTTGAACAAATAGGATGTCAAGTAAAGCTGCAGTCATTTCACCTGACGCCACTGGGAAACTTCAAAATAAATGCATTATAAAGAGATGATCAGATAAAATGTAGCTGATGAGGAACTCTCCAAATTCATCTCAGTGAGCTCACCTCAGACTTAAAGCAGAGTTTAGATTTTGCACCTACTTGACTTGTTGGTTCTTTCACCTACAAGGCTATAACTAATTATTTTTTGTACAGGTTTATCTGTTAATGTTCATCACAAGCTTCCAGAGGAGGAAATGTTTCAGCATCTTCTCTACTAATTTCTCTTAGGGCTTAACCTTTAATACATGTTATATTTTTGTTTACTTGTCAGGTTTTCAGTCACTCACTGAGGCTCCTTTCCTGTTGAGAGTCAATGTTTCCTGTTTGCTATCAGCCAGATTCAGAGATTTCCCGTTACATTTTTGCACAGTTTCGTACTTGTTTTGGTTTTGAATTCACCATCTGTGCTTTCTCAAATTCTCCTAATTCTTTTTCAGTCATGGGCTATATGCTGGCTTCAACGACCTGTTGAAGCAATGGCTCTCTGTCGTGCAGACAGAGGTCACTTCTACGTCAGTGTATCAAACAGCTTAGAGAGGCTCGTCGTGCTCTCCCTTTCTGTCTCCGCACAGTGTTCATTATTCAGGAGGTTTCCAACTGTGCAGCCTAAGCTCCGCTGACAGCCAGTACCTGGCCTCGTCTCTCAACCTCTCCCTGTTCGACCTCCTGAGGCGACATGACGCACACAGTATTTATCAGACCCCATAGAGCTGCAGTCAGCGCAGTTCACCACCAATACAATGTGATAATGGTAGCCGAGTTAATAGATCATTCTTGAATTTATGAATATATAATAAATAATCTTAAGATCCACTTTCTAGCTTCCTCCAACTATCTCCTGTACCTCCTGCTAGTCTGTACAGGTCTTCATAATAACTTAGTTCAAAGCATTTATAGCCTGATAATTGTTTTGACATGGCCCTCAAGCTGCACAACGGATCATGTAAAATGACAGTAAACACAACAGAATACAAACTACACTGACTAGAACATACAGTAGGTAGAAACACTTCTGGTTTCCTCAAACTGTAACAACCATTTCAACCAAAAACAACTTGAATTAGTGAAATATTCCAGATGCAATCGTCCATGTCATATGACAAGAGCAGAGCAGAACATCAGGGTTACATGCATCGCAGAGCTTCAGCTATTTCAGTTCCTAATTAAGACCCCACTGAAATGATGAGCCCAAAGATCATGACACAGTTAAGACAGACAGCTAAACATTCTCCATGAACCTCACACACTACTTTACTACAGGTCTTCGGCTTTAAATGTGATAAATGTACCTGCACAGACCCAGTGTGACACTGCGAGACGATACCTTCCCCTGTGGATCTAGTAGAGGAAAAACCCCGCTGTCCTGACACCGAGCCAGAGCTGATGAACTGCTACCCTCCCTCTCCCTTCCCCTGCAACCTGGTCTTGTGACTGTAGGGAAGACAGCTGACACCACTCCTACAAAATAAGAGCCCTCTGTCTGCCGCAGTAGAGAGTCTGCTACTTAGACTTTTTTCTTGTCTTTCCTTGTTCTCAGTTCATTTCAGTTTTACCAGTATCTCTCTTTTGTTTTTCATCCTGTTCTGGTTTCTGTATTTTGCATCAGTTTCACTTTCAGACTCAGCTTTTTCTTTTTCTCTCTCTCATGTCCTGTTTTACCAGGCCAGTGGGATGCTACCCGCTCTGGTGACGCTCACAGCTGTATCAGTTGTCACTGTGCTGAAGTCCACATTTCTTTAGAGCTGATGGCGTGTTGAGAGGTTGCTAACCTTTCCTTTCTTACAGTTTTTGTCCCATGTGTAGAAACACAAGCTAAGGCAGTGAAGAGCTGCTGTAACAACTTCAGTGCAAGATGCTGACAAGTCACTTTTACAGATTAGTGATCCTATAGTGTTGACCAGTCATGATAACTATCAGCGTAAAGTCCTAATGACATCCACTGATGTTAAAACTACCCTGGTCCTCCCTTCAAATTCCTGTTGTTTCCCCATAGGAAGGTGGTCTGGTCATTGTTTAACTGAGGGGCCTGCAAGATCAAAGCTGAACCTTGTGAGCACAGTGACGAGGTCTGTCAGGTCCAGCGTGGGAGACAGTATGGTCAAAGGACTAAAAGACCACTTTGATGTCATCCAGTCGGGGTTTTATTTTGGTCTCTAAGGGCTCTGTTTGCATTCTGACTGAACGGCAGCAAACTCACCTCTCTACAAAAAGAGGAAACCAAGACAAGAGCTTCCCAGGTGAAACATCCTGGAGTACACTAAAGCTTTAATGTCCCCAAACAGGCAGTTTGGTTGCAGACCGCAGTCAATAGAATAAAATGCAAAGAAAATTCTGCAAAAACCGACAAAACAGCAATAAAAACTGATGTCCCACATATATACACCGTCATTAATTACTTGTCACCAGCACTGGGGCTCTGATGAAACGACCTATTCCTTCTGTGCAACTCCAGCCTGATATAGGTGGCACAGATCTTGTGATGCTGAAGATGTTCTCACATAAAAGTCCAAATTGTGCACCAGAATTATCATGCGCATGAAACTATCGGTGCCAAATACAAACCATAACTGCGCCCGTATCGGCCAAGCCTGCAGGTAAAAAGAACAGGAAGCCAACAGGTAGAGCAGGAGATGAGATCTCACCTGACAGAGGTGAAAGGACCATGTTCCCTGACCTCTGAACTTCATCAAATTTACTGAAGATGACGTTGAGCCTGGACACAGAGGGGGGGAACAGAGAGTTAAAACCAGATGGTGTTTGCAGACTCTCTTCTCAAACAGAAAATGGGATAACTTCAGTTGTTCCAGAGCAGTTAAACAGGTTAAAGTAACACCTGCATCCGAAAATACACAGGCGATGGTCGACTGTGGAGCCTGCTGGGTAATCATAGTGTCTATGTAACTCCAGTCACTGCTGAGATTTATGGACTTTTTTTTGCTGGTCAGACAAAGCAAGACACTGAAGACATGACATTGGACTTCGCTATTTTTGGACATTTTATAAACTAAACAATTAATCATTTGGTTGAAACAATAACTAACAGAGGACTGACATGAACAGATCTGTTAGATATAAAAAGAGAAAAAACCCTTCACCTAATAAAAGAAGCTACACTTTAGCATTAATCATTCACGAGATGACAGTGAGCACTTAAACGCACCGTGACTGAGGTAGGCCCTTCTTTCCCAGGTCCATTCTCACTCGCTCGCCAACATGGCGGTAGATCTCTACAAGACAGTTCATGGCTCCGTCACGTACCTACAGGTCAATGATAAAATAACATGTGAACACAGGCTGTCGATGTGATCTCTTAATCATCCATGTTTTATTACTTTTCCGGTGTTATATTTGAACCAATTTAGTCAAAAAAGGGAAATTCAACAATTACAATTAATAGATACCTAGATAAATTGATATTTTCCAAAAATTTGCTTTTAGGTTTTTCTGCTTAAATGTATTTCTCTCCTATAAAATATATAAAATGTGTAATTCATTGTAAAACTAGTGTATTTTCATTCCGTTCCCCAGGTTTTCTCCGTATAATTTATTAGATTTTTTGTGTTGAATTGCTTTATTTTTGTGTCCTAACAACTGCCCTATTAGCTGTTTATTTAAATATAAAATAAAAACTGTAAAAATAAAATAAATGCTTGAAGATTTCTACTGGTAACCACCCAAATCCAAATGGAGACAGACAAACTGGACTTTCCTCTATTTTCCTCTAACACACACAAAAAGGAAAATTTCAGTGATTCCTGTGGAGACTAGTCATCATTTTGGTGATGAAGGTTGGTAATGCAGTTAATCCTTCAGTGTACAAGTGTATGTTTAGTGTCAGGAAGGGAAGTCCATGGGCCCAAATTCCTGTCCTCTTGAGGAAGTGTGATTCCGGCGATGATAGCCCTCTGCAGCATAACAGTGGATTTATAACTCAAACACAGAGATATATGTCTAATAACAGCTAAATATGTTCTCTACCAAAATATATCAGCTCACTTAGTGAATGTGTAAGAGTAAAGGGAAGATTTGGAAAATTAACAGAGCATTATTAGTTATTAGTCTGACAAACCTGCTGAGCTGTAATGTTTGCATCTGACCAGAAGAGGGCAGTCAAAGACCAATAATACTGCAGCTCCGCTCCAGTCTGCATTACTTCAGCATACTGTTGGTCTGGTAAGGAACATCTTACTGCTACTTCTACGGTTTTAGACATCAGTGCTATTCCAACTTTCCTGTTTCAACCTGACCTCGCCTCCATGCACAAAGGCAGTTTCATAATTAACTGGTTTTCCCAGTCTGGCACAGAAGAACTTGACTAGCCTGTACAGAGCCCTGACCTCAACCTCATCCTACACATTCAGGATGAACTGGAACAAAGTTCAGGCCTCTGGCTCCAGGCAGGAAACAGCTGCTCATACCTGACTTGTGGGATCTCCGAGGAGGTTACAGATGTGAGGAACGATTTTACTGAGCATCAGACTCTGAGATCCAAACCTAGAAACAAGATGTTGATAGTGTAAAAATAATAAAAAGCAAATATTAATTGGTTTAAGCTTCTCATATATGAAGAGTTGCTGCTTTTCTATTTTCTGATATGTTTAATAAAATACCTTTGTGTTTTTGTTTGGACATAACAAGACATCTGAAGACATCAAACTTTGCTTCAGCAAAGATACAAAGATTATTTTTACTTGTCTTAAACCTGATTTCTGAACAAACATGTGTAATATTTCCAAAATCTACCAGGCCTCTAGCAGACAGTTAGTAATATCTGAGATGCTTCCATTTAGGATACAATAAATGTTTTTATCAAAAGCAGACATAATGCTTTTCTAAGATGCACCTTTACTTACACATTCAGGGTGGAGATGAGGCAGAGGCAGAGTCCTTCTCTGGTCCTGTTGTTCTTGTGTTTGAAGCCTCCCATCATTCGCTCCCAAACATACTGAAAAGACAGAAATACACATGGAAGACCTGTATGTCTCTGTGCTAAGTCCTATTTTAGAGTTAATAAACTTATTTATGATGCATTTTAACAAGACATGAGATGCTAAAGTTTGGTAAGAGCAGCATGTGTGCCTTTGTAAAACATGAACACATCTGAATGAATGTGTGTGCTGCGGTGTACCTGTGGGTTCACAGCCTGGTCCATAATCTTCAGTAGAAGCGCTTGGTCCTGGTCTCGAACTTGGTCCTTGGCATCTCCCAGTCGATCCATCAGGCTGGGCAGAACTGAGCAGACACACAGAAAAGAAATGTGTCACTGACAGGCGGGAGCTGTCCTGAGAAAAAAGATTTGAATCCTCTCTTTGTAGCACCCAAACATATTTTAACTAGCAGAAATATAGAAAAATTCTACTGTAGTGATACATTTTAACATACCTGTATTTCATATGATCAAAAATGGTACCTTTAAATGGTGTTAAATGTATAGTGCCATGTAAATAATATTTATACATACACATTTCATGCATAGGTCAGTGGTCTTAATAAAACTGAATGGTTGGCTTATACACAGCTATATTCACTTCAGTAGTTAAAGTACCTACATTGTATAGTCTGTTTTGATATTAAATGTTTACTAGCCCCTCACCAGTTCCAACCTGTGTCCTGACCCGCTCCTGCAGTCTGCTGACCAGAGCTGATAGAATATCCATCCCCAGCAAAACCACCTGGCACACAAAAATGAACAAACAAGAAGCAAACATGCTGTTAAAATGTGTCAGAATCACTCAAAACCCAAGACAGAAAAATTCAGAAACATTACAACATGAGACCAGCAAGAAACACAACAGATTTGAATCAGGGCTGCAAAGGATTGTGGGTAATATGACCAAACCAAGAGTTTTCCCTTAAAAAAACACAAAATAATCAAAATAAACCAGTTTTGTGCAATAAAACCAACTTAAAATCAACTAAGTTGTCATTCTATGAGCTAAACCCTGAAAGTCAAACTTAACCGTGACTGAAGACTGTATTTACATTTTACTATAAGCTTCCAGTGGACTATACTCTAACTTTCCTTGTCATGGGGTGGTATGGGAAACTCAATGAGCGTTAAGTGAGAGTTCCCCTGCTGACACCATATTATCAACACATTCGCATCTCCTGAACTTCATGTTCAGGGTCTGGTGCAATTTTTGGAAACTCTCTTCCAACGTGAGAGAAACCGAATGTCAAAGAAACAAATACAATCTCACTGCAGTGCCATCTGCTGGCTCCACAGTGGAATTACAGTGAGATATACCCCTACAACTTTAATCCCAACATCTTATTGTTGTTCTAATTTACAGATGAAAACCTATCTTGTGAAAAGCATCAGGTGTAATTCTAATTTGTTAAGTATGTTTTATCTGGAAGAAGAAATGGACCTGAGAAGACTCATTCATTTTACACAGAGCAATGAGTAAGAGAGACACTATGGAGCAAACCATCTCTATGGACTGGAAGACTGACCAGTTTGATGAAAACCAGTAGGTAATCAGACACACTGTGCACTCCAGACTGGACTAAAACCACTGTCGAGCTCAGTCGCCTCCCATAGAGAGAGAAAAATACACTCTGAATGGGACCAAACTCAAACCTACAGCTGAGAGAGTTTTTCAAAAGTAAATCAATCACTGACAGCACAGCTGCAGCCATTGTCAATCATTTAGTTCACCTTTATTAATCAATGGTTTACTGAAATATGTCCATCACAGTTTCCCAAAATTCAAGGTGATATCAACTCACACTAGCATAACAAGTAACATTAACATATATGACATTTCCACACATGATCCCCCCTTTTCTGGATATTTACAACAACAGCATGTGTGAAAATCCAGCTGTTCTATATGCCAGATGTGTTGTGTGATGCCGGCAGCTGTTCCCTCATAACAAACTGTGTCACTACAGGATTAACATTGTTCATCAGCTACACAGGATCATATACTGTACTTTTACTCCACTACACCTGTCTTAGAACTGAAGACGAAGCTTCCCATAGTATATAAAGCAGCTAACCTTGGTCCAGTCTACAGCAATAAGTTCAAGATAGCAGTAATATTAATCCTAAAACATCCTGTATAACTGTTAAATACTCACAGGGACAACTTCTGCCTGAGTACTTTAAAGTACATTAATAATGTAATAATACTTACACACTTTTACTTAAGTATGGTTTTGAATGCAGGACTTTTAGTGGAGAGATTTCAGTGTGGTACTGAATGCTGAATTTTACAATCTGTCTGCATTTACCAAGAGCTCAACTGACTTTTAATTTAGGAGACAGGCCTGGCTCCTCTGCTGGCTGCTCTCCAATCAATTAACAAGAGCCATTAGACTAACGGCACATGAAGCAGCTCTCTTCCATCCTTTACCTACACACATCTGAAGGATTTTACTACCACCAGCGCACATTACAGCACAGCACAGGCAGGCAGGAACCTTGTTTCAACATGCTGAAACACTGAAATTCTGAAAACTCACTCCTCCCTGCTGCTGGCTCAATCACAGAGGGAGGGAAACTGGGCTAATTGTGCTGGTAAATTAAGCTCATGGCCACTGCCACATTCGCCTGGGAGCCTCGTCCCCATTACAGCCCTGCACATCAATACCAGAGGAAGCTGCGTTTCCAGGACAGCAAAGGAAGATATCAGTGTGCAGTTTTGATAAAACAATCAATCTTTAGTCATTACTGCAGCTGTGAAAAGCCATTGTTTGGTGTTCTTAAATAATACACGACTCCAACAATCAAGCCATCATCAAAGTTGAACCTGGTCAATATCAATCAATTTTTTCAGCATCAGAAATTTCAGCCTTGATTATCAATAAAAGGAAAAAGGAGAGTTAAGCAGCTGTCAGAAATGTTGGACAGAGTTTCATGTGCTCACAGCAACTAGTACGCAACAGCTGAGAGTGAAGTGCCTTGTCCAAGAGCATCTCTTTTCACCTCACGTTGAGGTGGAGTGTGTAGGATTCAAACTATAAACCTCCTAGTAAGGAACATCTCTACTTCTCAAATTATATCATTGTCCTCACCTTGAAGTTGCTGGAGTTGACCCAGGAGCTAGCCACCCCGTCCACCATCCGGTCCAGCATGGTCTGGTCCTGCTCCAGCAGTAGGGACTTCTCCTCGTCCAGAATGAAATCTATGACTTCCTGGCCCACCTGGAGCCTCTTGCCTAAGTCCTTCTGCATCACCTGATCCAACAAATACTCCATGCTGACCTCTTCCTCCATGACTGCTGCTGCTGCTTGGAACGGGGAATAACAGGCACCAGCTGTTCCGGCTCCTCACGTTTGGGCCACCAAAGCCCTTAGAGTTGACAGGACCTGCTGCAAGATCTGGCCCCGTTATACGCCAGTTACTACGTCTAAGAGGCAGCTAACAGTGGCGAAATGAACACCATAACATCCTGCAATGAAGGGCTGCTTTGGGCATGGCACTTCATTCTCCTAAAACAAATTTTTAGCAAGAAAAAGGCGACAATTAGGCGAAGTTTAGCACACTTAGAGATTGAATGGTGAAACTAAACATATATCGCTACAGTATTTGAGAGAAAGCTGTCTTGCTTACTTATAGATGCTACTTTGAGTGAAGCTAACCGATTGCAGGTGACGTAACTGCGCTCGTAAATGTGAACGTTAAATATCAGAACAGTTTATGCAGCTGATAGCTTCTCCTGCTAGTTCGCCACTAGCCACAGCTTTTATCCAAAATAGTCAAGCTGGTGTTAGCTAAGTGAGCTAAGTCAGGTCAGTATATTCACAACGACAACAGAGAAGAACCGGTAGTTTGAACTTGACTAACCTGCTTCTAGCGGGTTAATTAATTAGTTATTAATTCAGTGATCCGTTATACATTCACTCACCGGATGGACCGAATCGTTCCCAGGAAAAAAAAAAAGTCAAAAGTGGCGATGCTGGCTCCGGCCACAAACTACCGCTACAGCCCAGCAATTATTCAGTCACTTGAGGTTTATCAAACTACTTTGTATTAAATTAATCATCAAGGCATATCAGCATTTCAAAGCCTCAGGTGGCCACTCACTAATCATTCATTATAATTAAAAATGTCAAAATTATTTGGCTTGGCTTGTCCCTTGGCGGACACCGTACATTCTGCAATCATGGAAGATGCAGAACGGTGACCTCTGTAGGCAGGAGGGAGCAACACCACGTTCCCCGGCAGGGCTAACTGTGGTGGAAACCAGCTACATTGACTCAAGTACACACTTGAGATATTTGTATTTTGAGTATTTCCGTTTTCTGCTACTTTATACCTCTATTTCACTACAACCACAACTTAGAAAAAGTTGGAGTGGTATGTAAAATCTAAATTAAAACTGAAAACAGTGATGTGTAACTCATCTGTGTCCTGTATTACATTGAAAACAATAGAAGCTAACAATGAGCATGTGGCAATCATGATGCATCTGGCACCAAATCATCAAGAGTAAAAAGTAAACATGTACACACTCTGGTCTGAGGCATCTTTATTCACCATCTGAACTTCAATCATGACTTTATTCACAAAGTGCAAATATGAGTAGTACCGCTGATAAATATTTAGGGTTAAAAATAAAAAATTACTTCAGCTCAACACTAGTAATTAAATTAAAAAAATCAATACATGAATACAGTCTCTTGGCATTTAAAAACATGGAGTGTGTTTCTACATTTTCCAGTTTTCATGAACCGTGAGCAGCTCTGACTACAGTACACACCACGACACAGGAAGTGACCGAGGGGTTAAAAACACTAGCAGGACACAAAAACAACTGAACAACAAATTATTTCTGTGCAGTCTTGATATTTTTAAGAGATTATAACCTTTTCCATTGTCCACATATGAAAGTATTAGCAACTTTAAATAAGCTTCTGTCATTTGTTGTGGTTTTCCTTCATTTTAATGATGCGCCAGCAGCTGCCTGGCTGAATACAGGCATCCTGACTCCTCAAAGTAATATTTAGCTTTTTGTGTCACAAACAGCAGAGGTACAATGTTACTAATATTATTGTGTTAACAGGTGCCAATGGTAGCATTGGTTGCTTAGCTGAAAGGTGTATGAGATCAGACTCGGTTACTGGCTCTGAATCTATTTTTAAAGGCCCCTACACAGGTGATTTCATGCAGATTATCACAAAGGAAATGTGGTGAAATAGCTGGTTGTTAATCCCAGATCCTAAGTCACACACACCACAGGAACATAACAAGCAGTAACCTGGAGCATCCTTGAAGGACTGATCTGGTCCGTTCCACTTTGCTTTTCTACTGTATTTTTCCCTGCGTCGGTCCCTGTCTAAACACACGCACACGCACACGCACACACTTGAAAAAGCAGAATACAACCTCTTCCACTAGTTTTACCTCTAAACCAGTATGAGTGTAGTCTAGGTCCTAGTGAAATACTTGAGACATGACGACGCTGATGGTTAACCAATCATAGGCCACAGCTCTGCAAGCAACCGCCTCCCTATGAGGACTCTGAAAACTAGAACAATATTCATCAAAACTCTGACAGGGTCACCATTTGCTCCTTCCATTTCAAAGTTTCTCTTCATGTTTGACAGACTTTTTAAAGAAGGCTTCAAGATGGCAACAAGATTAGTCTTTGATTAGGCGGTGGCTGGAAAACAGCCCCAAGTGGCTGATCTGAGAAAGCCAACCTGTAGTTCCTCTGCTGGGAAGCTGAAAATATGGTTTTAAGAGAAACGCAGACAACAGTGTCATCTTGTTTTGTCTGTATATCACATCACTAGAAAAGCGAATAAATTAGCTATTTTGAAAAAAGCCAGTATTGCTGACTAAAAATACTGCATGGATGCACTGATCTGACTATTTCTGCCCTGATGCCAGTACCAATCTGCAACTTGTACCTGATCCACATCATATCAGTATCAAAACCTATAGTGTGCAGGGGTGTGAATTATGAATAAACGTATGTGTTTCTACAGAGAACCAGGCAGACCTCCATTGCTTGACTACAATCACATCTTAAGGCTCTCTAAAACCTTCAGATACAAATCAAGGAATACCGGATACTAAAACATTTAGCGGTGTAGACAGCGACACGCAGCACGTATCACTTTCTGCCATCAGTAACGGAAACATTGTATGGTGCCACTAATACAAATGAACATTGACACAGGCAGTATTATTATAAATATGGCAGCAGCACATAGTGTAACAAAATAACCCAAACTGAAAGTGCAGCAGTCTTAAACACCTCTCATACTGTATCTGGTCCCATTTTTTCAAAAAAAATTTTTTCATTAATGCCTGAGTACCACTTTATGACCAAACCCTGCAGACAGAGCTACAGCCTGTATTTACTGTGGAAGAACCAAAATCTGAAAGCAGGTGAACCCGAACAATAAACACACTCTGCTTTTCTATTCAGCCCGCAAACAACTGATCTTCTGAGGATTTTAAATATTAAAACAATGGATCTGAAGCAGAAGCATTTTGTCACTGGGTGCTTTGAACTGAAAATATTCCCGTGCAGTTATACTGGAAACACATGGTGCAGTGCTGCTGTGTTTACAACAGGAGGTGGGGAGATAGTTCATAGGTTGTAGTATAGTAGTGTCACACCAGTTTCACCTATTTATACTGCTGAAGGAGTGAAGCCTGTCTCAGCTGCTAATTGAACATGATGGACTCAGGATCCTGGTTCATCATCTGAGCCATGTGTCGCAGGACATCCTTCTTGGTGATGATGCCCAGGAGGCGCCTGAACAGACGCAGAGAGGTAAGTCACAGTTTCCAGTCACTACTTAGAGTACACTACTGATTGAAGTGATGTACTGATGAGTAAAGAAGTAATAAATGTACAAAGACAGTAACTTTTCTGTCTGTGCCTTCCTAATGAAGCATGAGTTGGCTCTGGTGTGCGCCATGCTCTTACCCGCTCCTGGTGACCAGACACTGGCGCAGGCCCAGCTTGCGGAAGATGTCCACCACCGTCTCCATGGGCGTGTGGTCGGTGACTGTGAAGGGGCTGAGGTTCAGGATGCGTCGCAGCTTCAGTGGCTGCGGATTACTGGCTGGCAGCTGCGGCGCATCTTCGGTGAAGTAGACCACGGAGCTGCTCACCACGCCGTCCTGCTTCTGACGGGCGTTTTCTGTAGATGGACAGAGGGGAGACGGCTGTTAAAACATCTGAGGGGGGTGTCGCTGATTTTCAGTATTCTTGAGAGATGCAATTTTATCCTGTTAAATCACACTTTCAAGCTGTCTAGAGTAAAACGCATCTTCATTTAGAAAAATCCTGAACTCGGGACAGCCAAGACTTCACAAAAGGAATTGTGTATTTATTCATATAGCAAAAGCAATCAAATATAAATGATAAAGACAACTGTCACCAAATGAAAACTGAACTGACTTACTGATGGCAAGGGTGAGGTCCCGGCGCTGGACAAAGCCGATGAGCCTCTCCGATTCTCGGGACACGACCACAGGGAAGCCATTATAATCTGTGTCTTTGATCAGAGTCTCGACATCCTCCACTGTGGTGGTGTCCTGGGTTAGGACAGCCAGAGGGGGGTCATTCCTGCGGGGCCGCATCACATCTGTGGCCAGAGTACGGTGGGTGAACTCGTCCCTGACATCCAGGTAAGGGTATCCATTGAGCTGGATGTGTGACTCATAGATGCCCTCCTTCCCGAAGGCGTCCGCCACCCACTTACTGGTGACAGCTGCGGCCATCAGGGGGACGATGTACTCCAATCCGCCAGTGAGCTCGAACATGATGACCACGAGGGAGACGGTCATCCTGGTCACCCCGCCTGAAAGGACACAATTGCAGCTGCTTTATTATAGGAGAGGTTCAGTCAGGATCCAGGGCGGAGATGACAGAACACTCATTGACAGCCAGTACATGCGAGGGGGGGTCAAGAAATACTGAACCTGGAGTGTGCCACTGTAGTAATTATACCAGGTTTCTGCAGGGCTTCCCAAGACCCCTGGACAGGGTTGCAACGGTATGAGATTTTCACAGTATGATAACCGCCTCAGAAAATATCACGGTTTCATGGTATTTCAGTACATGATATTACACAATTATTATCAGGAACAATGACCCTCACAAGAATGAAAACAAAAAATTTTTTTATTGCAGGTGACTGAGCTGGACTGCAGCTAGACTGACTCTAAATAATAAACATGAATATATGGATGACATGTTCTATAACTGAAGCATGTTAGCACCAGTAGTAGAGGAAGTATACACATCCTCTACTTCAGTACAAGTACAAATACCACACATAAAAGAACCCTACTCTGTTAGAAGTCCTGCAATGAAAATGTTAGGTACATTTTCATATTATCATGAAAATGTGCTTGAAGTGTTGAAGGTAGAAGTAGGCTACTCAATGCAGACAAATGTTATACTATATATATCCTACTGTTATATTCTTGTTTTTGGTATATCCAAAGTAACCCTGTACGGCTGATATTAATTCATTTTTCACTGGATGGAGTTTGGTGACGGACCATCAGCTTCCTCCTCTTTGCCATTTGTCTGCTGCAGTGCCTGTTGCAGAATCTGACAGGTAGTCAGGGAAAAAGGTGTGCATGCATTGTGGGATTTTTTTCCCAGTACTGCTAATTAACAAATGTGCATGGTATGAAAACCATCAATTTTCATATCATGGCATACTGTAATACCGGGTTACCGCTACAACCCTACCCCTGAACACGTTCCAAGTCTGATCACCCAAGTATGTGCAGAGAGAGAACAGAACTTAATCTCACCCAGACAGGCGGCGGCCCCCACCATGGCATAGAGTCCTGGTGTGACGCAGTCTGCACCGGGCCGGCACCAGTTCTTAAAGATGATCCAGTCGTGGTGGTGGTACGCCATCTGCTCTACAGCAATCCCGACGATCCGCCCGGCAATTGCTCCAACCGCCATGCTGGGAATGAAAAGACCTGACGGGATCTGAAGAGGCAACAAGCAAGGCTTTTTGAGCTTGGATTGCAAACACTGCTAAGAATTAGCTTTCCACTCGACTGCATGTCAAGATGCATATGCAAGAGCAAAAACAAAATCGATATGGAAGTGCAAACTGTTATAAAGTTATACTGACCTTCATGCCGAAAGTGAAGATGGTGATGATGATCTTGAAGACGAGTGCGAGGGCAAGCTGCCACAAGGCACTGTAGACCCCAGGCCCTGCCGGTCGGTCTGGGATGTCGTCCACCGGCCGACTCATGTTGGGATTATTAATATAATCACAGAGCTGGGAGGACTCCAGCGCGCCGCAGTCATTGAAGAGCTCAGCGATGAGCTCGCTGGTGCTGCAGCGGGTGTATGGGTTGGGGTATGCCAGCACGGCGGTGATGCCAGTCACTGCGATGACCTCCAGGACAGGGTATTTCCCCAGCTGGGTGGTCTTCCTCCGCCGGCACCAGGCGATGTTGGCCCGAGTGAAGAGGGTTCCCCAGAGGCCGCCGAACACGCCCAGCAGGATGAAGGGGACGAGCTCGGCCATGTACCACGGAGTATGGTACTCCACGTAAAACAGCACCAGACGGCTGTTGCCAAACGGGTTGATGGAGCGCAGCGTGAAAGCAGCGACCAGAGCGGCAAAGAATGAACGCCACAGGGTCTTCAAAGGGAAATAATAACTGACCTGCACAGGAGATCATTAGGAGAAACATCAAGAGATTTTAGATGAATTAATAAAAGCTGTAGGCAAAGAAAAATGCCTACAGCCTCACTCACACACAAACAGGTTTTATAACAAACCTCTTCCAGGCTGAACAGGACTCCTCCAATAGGCGCTCCAAAGGCCACAGACACGCCAGCAGCTGCTGCTGCCGATAACACCTGCAGGACATAACAATTCATCTCGATTTTAAGACAGTTATAAGAATAAATGTGGTCTAAAATTTGCTATTTGCCATGTTGAAGTACTCCATCCCTCCACAGAAACATTAGAAGTCATGGCCAGCAACAGAAGCAACTACAGAAACATCCAGAACACAGTTCCCTTTTTTTGCATTTTATCTGCTCTATTTTTCAGTTTCACACTGTGTAGTACATCTTGCTTTCTTCTCAACAGCGCACCTCTCGCCGCTTGCCCTCGTTCTTGCTGTATTTGGAGAAGAGGCTGCAGAAGAGGTTTCCACAGCAGCAGGCCACATGGACCAGAGGACCCTCTTTCCCCAGGCTGAGACCTGAGGACACAGCCAGGACCAGGGTGACTGTCTTGATGAGCAGGGTCCATTTCCCTAAGTAGCCTCGGATGATGAAGCCACTGAGGATCGTCTTGATCTGCCACAAGCAACAACATGTGTGATGAGTTTTTAAGTTTCCAAATGCAGAAAATGACAATAAGAAAGGGCTGCAACTAACAGTTACGTTCATCACTGATTAATATTTTTTTACGTTTTTTCCTCAGTTCATTTAGTCAGTAAAAGGTGTTTTGGTATCAAGTGTCAGGCTGCTTACGCAGGCCTGTTATAGACCTGCACGAATGCCTGTAACATGTTCAGTTGATATCTGACCTCTGGGATTCCTGAACCGCAGGCGTATGGAGCAAAGACTCGCACCAGCGACACCGCCAGGAAGGAAAACAGAAGTGCCCACAGAATGTACAGGAAGTAGTTCAACACGTACGCTCCTGCTCCCTGAAGCAGTCACAAAAAGATGAATCACTCTTCTCCTGTCTCCTTTGTTCACTCACTCACTCGCTTCTCTCCATGAAAACCACTAAGTAGTAGTAGCAGTAGATTTTTACCTTGCTAACAAAATGAGCAGATAAAGGGAATATGTACAGTTTTTGGTTGAACTCATCTATCTTTCTAATAACGACTGTCTGTGGTGAGAGCCGGGTCTGACCTCAGTGTGGCCAGTCATCAGCTCAGCCCACTTCTGCCACTGTGGACACTTGTCTCGGTCGTCAAACGTCGTCTCATTGGACGTCCAGCAGCACTGCTCGTGGCTGTACCAGAAGGCTGACAGACACACTCCTTCCTTCAGGTCTGTCATCCAGTCCACGGCCAGGTCGATAACTCCGGCCAGTGTGCCTGTGAACACCAGGGCACGTCAGTACACCTGGACCATAAAGTTTTTCACGGAGAGATGATTATTACAAACACAAGCTCTTGCAGTTGTTTCAATATACAAATACTGTGCATTTTCATCCCACGGTCAGGAAAAAGATAATAATATAATATTATTATTATAAGATAACACAAATTTGTTCTGACTTTGCTGGAAGTCAATAAAAGCATAATAACAATATAAAAATGTTAGAATGAAAAACCTTTTACATCAGATGTTCAGCTGCTGATTTCATTTTAACCAAGACCCAAGTGGTGCATAGTTTTCTCTGTTCTCTTTTGTGTTGTGTACTTCTTCACCAACATGTAAAAGCTGTGAAAAGTTGACATTAAAGGAAACGGTGTGCATCCTCTTCTCTGACTGACCTGAGAGGAGGCCAATGAGCAGCATTACCACCCATCCTGACCAAGCATCCAGCAGGCTCTTGATCAGCTCCCAGATGGACTCTTTACTCTTACTGGTGATCTGGCAGACAGACAACAAGGGGAAACAAGTGTTATTCATTCATAGAGTCTGCACTAATATGCAACGGCCCTCACTTAAGAGGACTACATACTTCATTAGATGAACTTCACTGTCAGCTGCTGCATGAATCTCATTCACACAGAGATCTGTTTTCAAAAGAAAACCCCTTTGGCTTCCATCTGTTTATTCAACTAATGGTGTGTCAGCAGGATGAGTCACCACTGCAACACTGTTTTGGTTTTTATCCCAGAAAGAGTGGTCAAACAACTTTCAAGGAGACAAACCAGATCCTCTTGTCAAACCACCAATAAATGTCAAGGGGCCTGGGGAAACATATGCACATCTTGCCAAACTTTTCACTGTGAGCACTGACAAATTGTCTCTCCCATTAGCAATGCTCCTAGTTTGTTTGCTTAGGAACAAGGCCAAACTGAACCAGTTTTTCATGAACCATTTTCATCAGGTTTATATCAGTAGCACCATAATAACGTTTGCTGCAGGTACAGAAAAAAGCAATAACAAAACTAAAACAGCCAAATAAGAAACATGCACAAAATATAATATATACACATATATACAGAGAGAAAATGTGGTCAAACCTTGCGGTGGCGATCCGTGTCTCTGGATTTCTCCCTCAGCCAGTCGATGGTGTGGAAGTCTTCATACGTGGCCACGTCAGGAAAAGGCTCGTCCAGGAAATCCATCAGGTTTCCAGCTCCGTTCATCTCCTCTGTGGGCGTGGCACTGCTGACACCTGGCAGAGGCAGCAGGTCATCAACTTCTGAACATCAGTATACCCTTGTTTACAGTGACACGCATTAGTGTGTCACTGTAAACACTACTGTAACGAAACGATGCTGTGGAGTCCATCTCACATAAACCACATAGGATTTGCTCTCAAACACAGATGCTTTGCTGTCAGTGTAATCGTCAAAGCTCTAAAAAGCAGCAACAATTCTCATGACCTTTGCTTGAAAATATCTCTGACATTGAGAGGTCCCTGTCAGATAACTGACACGGGGGGAATAATTTGGGATTAAGTGGCGCTACATTGCTAGCTCACTGACAACATTATGGAAGGGTAGCCAAACATTTTTTTTCATGGATTTAAATACCCACTAACAGCTTCGAAACATACGTCTTTCATTTGTTACATAGCTCATTTCTTCGTGCTGACTGACGTCTTTTTCATAAGACAACAGCTCCCAACCAGTTAACGTTACATAAAATAATGCTATAATAAACACTTCTATATTTACTTTAGCAGCTAAGGCTAATTACCAGCATTAACATAGTCTCCTCTAGGATAGCGATATTAGCTCAATAAATCCGTCTTTTACCTTCGCCGGCTTCCATCTTAGAGTCCGCGCAAGCTACTGCAAGTGGAAATAATCCTTTTCGATTTTCCTATAAAAAGTCGACCACCCCTAACATTTTAAAATATTTTTTTAAAAAGAAAAACAGTCCGACAGAGACGTGCACCAGAAATCGGCTCCCACAATGCACCTGCTCAATCCATCAATCTCACGATACATCCATGATCTCGCGTTGATTATATGAACGACATAGATCGTGTAATGAACAGAGAAATCACGCACAAAAATAAAAAATAAAAACACTCCTTATTTGACAGCGTTGCATTGCTCATACAAGTACGTTGTAGAATTGTTGATAATTATTATGCATTAACGTGTAAGTAGCCTTTTCCTTTTGTGGTTGGTTTAGGTGGTGCAAAGTTTAACTGCTTAAAACTGCAAACTCCCTATTCTCAACAAGACATTTCTGAACATTATAAAAACAAGTGAAAAGTTTGGCAGTGCAGTAATAATTATTATTATTAAGATCGTAAATATTATATAAGATTATCGCACAAGCATTATGAAATGTGAACTGAAGTATGTGTGCTGATGAAGCATTTTATTTATATTTTCTTAAATTAGGTGTTTAAAGAAGCTGATTATTTGTTTGAAGTGTTCCACACTTGATGTCATGGGTTCATTTAGTCTTTGTTGAAAATGCTCAATAAAAAAGTCTGATATAATAATCACACTTTATTTGGCGATGTTACACACACACAAGGAATTTGTTTCCCATACAGAACCAGGGGAGCCATCTGCAGCGCCAACTCACACCGATGGCTCTAACAATCAGGGGCAACTTTGGGGTTCAGTGTCTGCTCAAGAACACTTCAACATGCAGACTGCAGTCACCACCATTTGAATCTCCAACCCTCCGGTTGGGAGACGGCTTCTCTGACCACTGAACCACAGTCGCCCCCATATTCTACACCAAAAAAATCATCAACAGCTTTCTTCAAAAATCAACAAAACTGACTTATGAAATGATTTAACTGTGTCACTATTTCAAACGTTACAACCCTTGTGAAAATGATCGTTTCATAGATAGTTTAAATAAAAGGCTCGAGTTGACTGTGAAACATCCACATATACATTTAGGGTAACACAAAGATGTTTACATTTCCTAGAAACAATAATATTTTTAATATTCCTTTAATAATTTCCTGGTGTGTTTTCATAGTAAATTTCCGCTATTGTTTAGCTGGAGTGGCTGCATTTTTTTTTTTTTAATAGATTCACATTGTTAATTTTCACACAGTTGTGATTAAGTTCACATTTAATAGAAAAAAAATATTATTACACAAATAAAAGGGACAGATCCCACAGCTAAATTTGACTGGACTCACCTGCTCTGCTCTGTGAGTTTAATCCTACCTAGAATGTGGAGTTTAGTTTTGGTTTTTTGCTTGTCTATATACATTTTCAATTTTAAAATCAACTCAGTATGACATTTGATTTTTGCATAACAATAAAAGAAGTCAGAAGGCTCCCCATGTAACATCAATCTTGACCCAGCCCTGTCACTGCTCCTGCAAGGTGACTGCTCACTGTACCGTGTCCATAACTGTCCAGGGAGTCTGAAGGTCTCTACTAGACCACTAAGAGCGTGATAGATGAGCAACCAAGATCTTAGAACGTCTGAAAAAAAGTACAGCATGAAGTGAATGAATTTAAGATCTTCTTGATCTTCATTCTTGGTCAGGAAAGTCTGCACTCATCTAAAAAACAACAGAGACATCAGGTCAGTCAGTTAGTGCAGATTAAAAAGTTTGTCAACATTTAATCTTTCTCAGAGGAAAAGCAGCTGCAAAGACAGAAGCAGTAGTAATGTAAAAGAAAAGGATGGGTCGTGTCTTCCAGGACAGCTCATGTAGAAGAAACTGAGCCCTGTGTAAAGCCATGCTGAACAATGGTGATGGTTGAGTGAAAGCTGTTAGTGATGTGTAATAATTATGATGTAATACTACATGCAGTACTATGGTAGAATGTCCAGTGGAGCTGCATCTACCTGCATGTCAAACTGGTCAAATCCAATCAGATTGTTGGTCTGAAAGCACAGCGAGAAAAACGACACAAAGACAGACAGCGAGATTTACAGCTGCACAACAGACCTCAGACAGAACAGCTGAGTACAATATTTCTGACAGTTGAACAATTAGACGCAGGCCGGTGGCAGTAGAAAGAAAACCATCTTATGTTCAGCCTAACACGTCTGGAATAATACTGGGATGTTGCTTCGGTACAGTGTCACACATACTTGTAAGCTATTGTAGCTGAGTGATAAACCTGCTACTGTTTCACATCGGGATGCAGCCAGTGTGTGTTTCCCTTTACACAGTGTAACACAGGGTACATTCAGGTAAAGTAGTGGGTCTAGGTCGCCCATGTTTTTTCAGTAGTTAGATGTGAAAAACAAAAAAATACCTGAGGTGAAAAATACTTAAGGTTGTAGCTAAGCTTGTTAAAATGCCAAACTCAGAAGGGGAAAAAGTCCTAAATTATTCTGCAAGTATTTAAAAGTATTTTTATCATGTACTGGCTGAGTCATTTACTGGGCTGCTGGACCCGTCCAGGACTCTAGATGTCAGCATTTAAAGCAACATGCAGCGGTGATCTGCTGTGGTGCAGTAAGTGCGCTGCTCACCACAGCGTCGATGTCTCTGTGCCCGACGTACTGCTCCAAAACCTTGTAGTCGTCAGGAGACATGGGCATCATGTTGTCCTGCAGCCTGGATGGATGTCTGCACCAGATACACGTGGGCATTACCTCTGCTCTGTCTCTTACTATTAACATATATCACATTATTGACCATCAGTGTATTTTCTTTGCTTACACTTCTGAAACAGATATGAGCTCTGTCTTCATGTAGCCGCTCTTGTCTGTGTTCTCCACGTCCATCGGCTCGGGAGCTGAAAGTCAATTAGACACCAATCTAACTTTAAGAAGGCAAGCTAAAGTTTGTACAAAATGTTTAGAGACGGTGCGCAGCAATCAGGTGTCGTACTCTCGGAAGGTTTGGGGTAGTACTTCCCGAAGGCCTTGTCTTTGGGGATGCTGGGATAGAGGAAGCGGAGCGGGTTCTCGGGGATGTTTTCAGCGGCCATCACCTTGTAGGTACGGATTATGTCAGGGAGAGACACAGCGCTCAGCTCCTTCTTTGTGTACGGCTCCACTGAGTGAAACAATGGCTTGTCTGGGTAGAGACAGATAAATGTTATTGCTGATACAAAGTTCTAAGTGTCCTTTAACCTCTGCTCTCTCAATTTCCTGTCTAAATTAATGATTATTGTTGTCCTTTAGGTTGAATAAATTCTTCTACTTTGTCATGTAAACAAAACAAAAAAATTAAGTTTTGGATTCACTGAAAAATCCATTGTCAAAACCAGGGAGTTAAAAACACGTGAAATCTTATAAGTGCTGCACACAGTTAAAGGCAGCACATTAAACAGCTACAGCAGTGAACGTGATCAGTAACATTAATGCAGTAAGCTGAATGAGTACATTTTGGTGATAATAGTTTTACTCAAGAAAAGTTTTAAATCCAGGTTTGTACTGAAGTGGGTGGCATGGTGGGACAGTGGTTAGTGCTGTCGCCTCATAGCAAGAAGGTTCCAGGTTTGAGTCCCAGCCGACCCGGGGCCTTTCTGTGCAGAGTCTGCATGTTCTCCCTGTGCCTGTGTGGGTTCTCTCCAGGTGCGCCAGCTTCTTCCCACAGTCCAAAGACATGCAGTCTAGGCTGCAGTGTGTGTATTTGCCTGTCTCTAAGTGTCTCACCCACTGTCAGCTGAGATTGGCTCCAGCCCCCCACAGCCCTATTCAGGAATAAGCGGTATAGATAATGGATGAATGGACTGTACTAAGGTATTTTCAGTGTGGTACTGCTACTTGTACTGAAAGATCTGAGTACGTCCAGCTCTGTTGTCAGTGTAAAAGTCACAGAGCCAACTATCCTGTGAATTTTATAATCGTAAAGAAATCTCTGACATTTGGATGATTTTTCTTATCAACATAAGAAGCGTGTTAAACCATGCTCCAAACCGGCCTTTTCATTCTGCACCACTGAATGTGGCTGTGGAGACACTTCTTCTCGCTCTCTGCGCTCACCATGCACGTCATGCTCAATCCACGTGAATGTGATGGCTCCCTCTTTGCTGCTCTCACTGAACCTGAGCAGGAAGGTGCCCGGACACTTGTCGCTCAGCAGAGCCTTCTCCCGCTCCTTACTGATGAAGCCCATGATAGAGCTGTGGCACACACAGAAAAACACTCCTACATTTGGCTTCAATTCACTCTGGATTTGTCCAAAAATGTTCCCTCTTCACTCTGGGGTTGAGTGCTCACCCGTCGTTCCACAGGGAAAGCAGGTGCCTTTTAATCAGGTCCAGGATTCCTTCAATCCACAGCCAGAAGGGGAAAGCTTTCTCATTGGCACTCTGCTGGATGAAAAGGTTTTACTTTTATTTTAAATGCCTATATTGCCTGAATATATATATATATATATATCACAGACTGATACCGCTCACCTTGCAGAACTTGGTCCAGGGGATTTGTCCATCTGGGTTCCTCTGAGCTTTAGCTCCTAAACACAAACACATAAAATATTCAGGTTGCTCTCTTTGAGGTCTTAAAGGTGCATTAATTAAGATTTTATACACTGTCTGATAAATCCAGTGACAATGGGACAGGATGTGGTGTCTCTCAGTGCTAAGTGGAACAGAAAGAGTGGGACAAAGAAAGAACAACAACCAGGGCTAACATTGGTTTGGCTTTTTGACATGGAGAGGGTTAAAAGCAGCCTGAGGACTCAGACTGGATTCAGATACATCCATGTTTTTGCAGATACTAGCACTGTTTCTGGATGCGTGGTATCAGCCGTGTTTTTTGTTGCATTTCTGACCGAGCAGCTTGTCAGCGAGCATGTTGAGCTGTTCCTGGTTCAGGCCTCGCTTGGTGACAGAGGAGAACTGCCAGCTGAGAACCTCGGACAGCTGAGACCACTTCGCCGGCGGAGGCGACAGGAAAAACTTCAGGTTCTGAGGACGTGGAGAGCAGAGAAAAAACAAAGAACTCCATTACCTGGTCCACAAAAGAGCCTGACTGATACCAGCCAATACACATTTTATGCATTTACATTTTCTTAAATGAAGACAATGTAAATTATTTTTTTAAACAGCTGTAATAAAA